AAATGGCGATTCGTTGGCGAGGATGGTGAAGGTGGCGAGGTGCGGCTGCGTCGCTTGCCGTGCGTGTTCCCTCGTCGTGCGCAGGAGGAGCTGGCGCAGCTGTTCGAGCGCTTCTGTTCGGGATGGGGCTGCGGGTCCGCCCAGCGCCTGTAGGAGCGCTGTCACTGCTGGGGGCACCCATCGTCGCTCGAATTCCTCCGCCTTTAATCTCGGTGCGCCATTGAAGCTGCCCTCTCGTTCTATAGTTCCATCTCCCCATCCTCGTCGCGCCTCATCCCCATACTCGCCCTCACCATCGTCGCCGCCTGTGCCGAGCCCAGCGTCGCCCCAGGGCGATCGCAGGCTGGCCGCGGCTGCGGATGACAGGTATCCCCATTTTGGGGAAGCCATCGAAGACCAGTTGGGCGAGGAGGACAGGAACTCGGCGCCACCGTGGTTGTGCGGTTCCATTTATGTGTTGTTGTTGCTCCTCTGTTCAATATCCTGTTCCGATCTGCCAACTGAATGATAATCGAAAAAAAATCTGTTATTCTGTATATCAAGATGATGCGCAGCGTACAGTAGAAAAGGATGAATCGCAAGGCTGTGTGGCCAAGGAGAGAAGGCAGATGGACAACAGATGAGTGCGCACCCTAAGTAGCGGATTTTGGTAGGGTCCTCCTTCGCCTTGAGCTGAGGCCTCAGAAAGTTGGTCAATTTCTTTTGCCTGTTTCCTTGTGGCTTAAAAAAGAAAAAAGAAAAAAACTCTCTTGGCACCAGCTGTTCTGTGCTCTGTGAAACAGGAGGAGGTGCCCAAGATCACTCCCAGTCCAGGTTGATGATCCCACATGTGCCATTGAGGGCACTTGCATGCCAGGGAACACCAGGTTGAAAACCTCACTGAGCCTGACACGTTGGGTTTCATTCGCCACCTTAAAAGAATTCTGAAGGTGCTTTTTTATGGGTGGTCTGGATGGGGGGCGGGGATGAGGGGGAGGACAGCGAGCACATTGCGCGCGTCGGGCTGGCGGTCCCAGCGGCCCATGCGGGGCTCGGTGCCCAGCGCGGCCAGGGCGAAGCGGCCCGAGGGCGCTATGGCTAGCCCGTTGACGAATCCAGCCGCCGTGGCCGTGCCCACCTGCTCCACCTTGCCTACTCCCGCGGGCGGCGCACTCCAGAAGCGCACCACTCCGTCACTGTGTCGACAATATAAGGTAAGCACATGTGTTTCGTGCGTGTGTCGTGTCGTGTCGTGTCGTGTGCGCACCTGGATCCCGTGGCGAAGAGGTCGGATTGGCGGCAGGCGGCGACGGCGGTGACCCAGCGGCCGGCGTGGGCGTTGGGCACGGTCGAGCGGGGCTTCTTGAGACCCAGGTCCCACAGGGAGAGCGAGCCGTCCTGCGACACCGTCGCATAGAGCTGGTCCGTCAGGTAGGCCGCGCCGTCGATCGGCGCCGTGTGTCCCTTCCACACCAGATGTGTTTCCTCCGCCACCTACGACCGCACACGACACGACACGACACACGACATATAACACACAGTCATCAAAGTGTCAACAAAGGCAACACGCAATAGACGAGGCGTGAGCGGTGGTGGTGTACCTTGAAGAGCCGAATCGATCGGTCGAATCCGCCGGCGGTGAGAGGCCGCTCCTGGCCCAGGCAGTCGATGGAGGTGACGGGCGCCTGGTGTCCGAACAGGGTTTCGACGTAGGACATCTGGGCCGTGCTCCACACCTTGACCGTCGCATCGGCCGACGCGCTGTACAGTTCCTGACCGCCCTGTCGGAACGTGAGGCCCTATTGAACACGACACGACACGACACGCATTGAGTCAATGACACACGCACACATGAGACGACACACGCGCACACGAGGCGGCACGACGTACGGTGACGGCCTGTCGGTGGCCGGAGAAGGTGTCGATCTGGGTGTTGGTGCGGGTGTCCCACAGGTGGACGAGCCGGTCGTCGCCGCCAGTGGCCAGCATCCGTCCATCGGAGCTGACCGCGATCGCCAGCACGTGCCCCACGTGCCCCTTGGACTTGTCGCTCTTCATCTGCTGCTTCCCCTTCTTGCCCCGGCCCTTCCCCTTGCTCGCCTTTTCGTTGGCCTCCCTCCTCGGCGCCCGACCGCCTCGCCACAGCCGCTTGCCCGTTTCCACGTCGTCTGATGATACAACACCAGACGCACACGACACACGCAACACACGCAACACACGCACATGACACGACACGCATGACACGTCAGCAACACGCATCATGTGTGGTTGAGGGGGGTATGATGGGGGGGGGTACATTGAATGATTGTGCCGTCTTTGGAGCCGGTGTAGGCGGTCTTCTCGTCGTCGGCCAGCGCCACGCAGGTGAGGGGCAGCTGGTGGCCCCGAATGGTTCGGATGCCCGCCTCGGCCGCCGCCACATCTCGCGCCGCAACCTTTACAATCGAACAATCAATCAACGCCAACACACACACACACGCACACGCACGCATGCACACACGACACACGCAACACGGGACAGCAACACACCTCGTGGGCCAAGCGGCGGCGATGACGTCCGGAGGCTTCAAGCACGTCCTGCTTGAGGCGCTTGTGGACGCGTGTGTTGAGCTCCTCTTCGTCCTCCTCCTCGTCGTCGTCTTCGTCGCCGCGCTTGGCCGAGTTGAGGGCCTCCAGCTTGCGCACGTAGCGCTCGGCCAGTCGCAGGCGCGTCTCGTCGGGCGTCTCGTGAGCAAAGCGGTCCTCTTCGGTCTGCTCCTCCTCTTGTTCGCTTCCCTCTTCTTCGCTCAGGTCCAGCGCACCTCCTGCCATTCATTGATTCAAAGCAGACAAAGTTGAGATGAAGGTAAAAGATTGGGCGATTGCAAACAAGATCGAAAACAAATGAAAGGGCACGCATGCGCGTTGCTACTTCCTCCGTTCTACCAAGTCCTATTTTCTTGTAAATTGAATAAAATCTCATAAAATCTCTCCTGCGTTCGCCGCGTTTGTTGGGGGGGGGGGCAAAGGGCAGAGATGAGAGTACCTTCTTCCTCATTTTCTTCGTCATCGCTTGCCTGCAATCATAATTGCAAGGGCCAATCGTCTCCGATTAATAATCACAATTCAATTCATTGGCAAGAGATGCGCCGGGTGTACCTTTGTACGCTTCCGCTTGCGGGCGGCGGGATCGGACATGAAGAAGGGATCAGCCATGTTGTTCAGGAATGAGCGAGGAGAAGAGGGCAATCAAGGGAGATGATGATCTCTTCCGGAGCCAGACAAGGGAACAAAGCCAGAAAAGCCGGAAAAGAAAATAATTATTAAATAATTATTAATTCTTTTTTTATCTCTCTTTCTTTGCCAGAGAGCTCAAGAAGAAGACCTTTGCTACATTTCTTGGTGGCCTGTATTGTTTGTTGAGAGCCTAGAGATACACCTCCAAGGGAATGGCTCATCTATGAACATAGACCTCGCTTAGGACTGGATGAACTGGGGGTACTTGGTGCCGAGGTTCTCCACGATGACGTTGATGGTGTGGCACGCTCCCTCGATGTGCTTGTCCCAGAGGTTCAGCGAGCCACCGTCTGGCGCAAGGCAAAAAAAGTGTGCACACGTGAGCTCAAGGAGAAGGTGAAGAGGGTAAGAAGGTCTTGCAGAGGGAGGAAGACAATTACCAGTCTCGAACTGGATGAGCTTGTCGATCTGGTCGATGCTTCCCTGGAGTCGGCTCTCCACCATCATGCGCGCCGCCACCTGCTCGGCCTGTGTTTGTGTAAAGCGACATGATGCGTCAGACCGATATCTGACGGTACTCAGGCACGACAAGAACCAAGAGGAGATGATCATGATGAGGGGGGCTGAGCTGAACGCGAACCTTCTCGGGAGTGATCTCGAGGAGAGAGCCAAGCTCGGAGAAGGTGATGTTGTTGTAGATCTTGGAGGCCGAGAGGAGGTTGTGCTCGATGACGGCACGGTCGAGCACGGTCGAGCCGTCGGAGAGGAGCGCCATCTGGTGGGGCTTGAGGTCGGCAGCGAACTTCTGCACCTCGGGCTTCCTCAGGACGCGCTCGAGGTACATCTTCTCGAGGATGTCGTAGATGTCGATCTTGGAGCACCGCTCGTCCTTGTAGAGGGTGGCCAGCACGCGCGAACGCTGCGGGCCGGCGTTGGCCAGGATGGCGCACGTCACGGCGCACTTGAGCGCGTCGAGCCTCTCCCGCTCGCCCACGATCTGCGAGAGCTCGTAGTAGCGCGACGACGCCTCGAGGAAGCGCCTCTTGTAGTCCATGATACGGGCAAAGCAGACCTGTTGTCGGCAAGGTGCGTGGTTGGTGATGCGTGTAGCACTCCAATAACGATCTGAAGGCCAGCAGATGGCGACAGCGGCAGAAAGAAGTAGGAGAAAAAAAAGGGGGGGGGGCTGAGGCGAACCTTGTAGCGCATGTGCAGGTTGGCTTCTTTGCAGTCAGGGATGAGAATCGAGGCCCTGTTGAGGAAGGTCTCGGCTTGCACGGCCTCATCGTCTTCCAGGTACAGCTGAGCGATTTTGACGTAAATGTTGACCTTGTACTCGGGATCCAGCACTCTGCACGAGGCAAATAAGGCATTTATACAATTGGTCTCATAATGGAAGCATATCAGCGGCAGCATCGGGGGGGGGGGCACCTGTTGCCAGTGTCGAGGGGGATGGCACGCAGGCAAGCGGCAGCCTCAGCCCACTCCTCCTCATCTTGGTAGACGGATGCCAGGTGCTCGCGGATGATGGACACCTGCTCCTCGAACGCAACCACGCGGGGCTGCAGCTTGGCAAGGGCGTAAGTGGCCACAGTCTTGTGCAGCTCGGTGGGCAGGTCCTTCAGGATCTGAGCAAAGTTCTGGAGGATCTGTCGCGAGATGACGAGGGGGGTGTCCTCAGACACCATGTGATCGACGAAGGCATTGAAATCCTCAGCCTTCTGCGCCGCGAAGATTTCGTTCAGCAGATCTCTGTACTGAGCGATTTTGGTCTTCTGATCGCCCACCGACGCGATCCCATTCAGCTTCGACACCGTGCTCATTGTTTCTATGCTGCTTCTCCAATTCGTAGGATTGATAGATTGCGTGAAAAAACTCAAGCGCAGCCGAAAATGAATTCTTTTTGCGGCTTGATTTTTCTGTGAACTCTTGATTTTGCTAATTCATTTCTAAAATTGCCAAACCATTTAGTGTATTTTGCAATCCTGGCAATTTCCGCCCACCAAGCAGAGGTGGTTCATGTTCACCGGAAGTCCGGTTTCAAACCACTGAGCGCCGTTGGTGCACCCGCTTTTTCTCACCTGCAATTTATTTTTTCTTTTTTTGTTTGGATCTCCCCGCCTCCATCTCAATCTTTTCATCCCTTCTTCTCTTTGGACTCGTTTCATCGTGCGGCTCGGCTGGTCGTTTCGATCTCCCCAACGACCATTCCTACTTCTTCGAACGATACACAACGAGTAGGAAATGAGCTCGCCCATAACACAAGTATCTCGGGATGAGCCGCATCAAAACCTCATAACGCAGGTCTCACGCGATGGATCTCAATCACCTCGCCCTCAAGAGCACCGTGCATCTCGAAACGGCAGGAAAAAGGGATGGATGCGTTCCCTTTTCCAATGCTGCCTTCCAGAGACTGATGATGAGGAACATCGCATGACGAAAGTGGGCGCTTCTTCCAATACTTCTCCTCATGTACATGTTTTACCCTTCCGCCCGTCTTCCTCTCATTACCGTCTTCTTGCTTCCGTTTCAATCCACATTCGCATGGAAATGCCATGGCATTCTCAATTTGCTTCTACACGTTCTGACCATTGCATGTTTATGTTGGGCCACCATTTCCAGTTGAGCCGTGACTACCTGCTACCGCCTCTTCTGGCAGAGGACAGCGGAAAGAAGACTCTCGTGCTAGATCTCGATGAGACCTTGGTGCACAGCTCGTTCAAGGTGCCCTTCTGCCCGATTCTTTTCCGATTTGCCCAATTCTGCATTCGCGTGTCCGCGGATTCAATTTTGCTCATTTTTGTTCGGCCTTCTCGACATGTCCTACCCTAGCCAATCAACAATGCCGACTTCATCATTCCCGTCGAGGTGGAGGATCAGATGCACCAGGTGTACGTCCTGAAGCGACCTGGAGTGGACACGTTCATGAAGCGAGTAGGCGAGATCTTTGAGGTTGTGGTCTTCACCGCGAGCTTGGCCAAGGTACCCACACTCGACCCACAGAACTGCCCAACAACAAGCAAGCCACGCCGCCGCCGGCGAGTGACTGACAACGTTGTTGGCTCCGTTGCCTCTGCCCAGTACGCCGATCCGGTGCTCGACTTGCTCGACATTCACCGAGTTACGCGAACACGGCTCTTCCGCGAGTCGTGCGTGCAACACAAGGGCAATTTTGTCAAGGTCCGTCCGTCACCCGGTCTCCTCTCTTCTCTTCTCTGTCGGCTCACACTCTGACTGTCTCGCCACACGCACACAGGACTTGTCCAAACTCGGGAGGGAGATGAAGAACGTGATCATCATCGACAACTCGCCCGCTTCGTATCTGTTCCACCCTCACCATGCCGTGCCCATCGACTCGTGGTTCGACGACATGAACGACACCGAGCTCCTGGTGCGTCACACTTTGCCTACACTCTTGCCTGTCCGTCTGTCTGTCTGTCTCTGCTCGTGTGCTCACTTGGGTCGCATCGTGCACGCGTTGAAGGACTTGATATCGTTCCTGGAAGACCTGTCCAAGGTGGACGACGTGTGTACAGTGCTGGACACATCGCGCAAGTAAATCAGCGCGACGTCAACAAGAGACTTTTCACGAACACGGCCGCGACCACCATCAGCCACTTCCTCTCCTTCTCCATCTTCTTCTTCTCTCTTCTGAAGCTTCTTCCTCGAACCTCGCCTCTACGGCCGTCGCCACACACTCATCGACATCGATCACCCCACCAGCACCCACACGGGCGCGAGTGGAAATGTAAATATGAGCGAGCTCGGCTACGACCAGTTGTGGTCGCGCCCACGTCTTCCTCATCTTCACCATCAACCAGCCCGAGAGTCGACCGACGAGACCGGCCCATCGTCGTCATCATCACCGACCAACGGCGGCGTACCACCACCTTCATCATCATCTTCCTTTCCGATCCAATTTTGCCGTTTCAACACATCACCGCCGCCTCGCCGCCGTCAATGCGTCGTCGTCACCCACAGTTTTGTGAGCCCTTCATCACCTTCATCATCGTCGACGTGGACACGCAAGAGAGAGAGGCAAGAAAAAACAAGGGGGAGAAGAGGAAGTCAGCTAAAAGGAGAGAAAGAAAGAGCTCGAGGGGAGAGGAAAGCGCGTGTATTTTGTAGTTCCATTCAATCAATGATCATCTTCATTCGTGTCCACCTTCATCTCCATCTTGGCTTGGCTTGACAAGAAATGGCACAGTGCCAAAATGACACTCGACATTGACACGGTGATTGTTTTTTAAATAAAAAGAGAGAGTGATGTGGTGGCGGTCACAAGCTCCATCGCAACGTCATCAACCTCCCACTTTCACACTCCACCGCCAATGCAACGACTAGACAAGTCTCGACCGCACACGTCGCCGGCCCAGCATCGGGCTCCACCCGCTTTGATCCTGTCAACCACGCCACGGCAGCCTTCCGCGAATTCTGGCTGAGCCCACGATCACCAACGCAAGACTGTTGGCCACAAGGTGGTCGCCCGCACACATCGCTTCATGGGCGCGGTGCTACAGTCGCTGGGCTACTTCGAACAATCACGCTCTGTTGTCTGGGATGGGTGCCACTGTGCGCCGGTCCTGAAACCTTACCACCGGCTTTTTTTTAACTAGCATATATACAATCTGGTACGTGATACGATCCTCCTCTGGCCCTCATATATATATATATATATATGTATATATCAAGGGTTCGGTTGAGCCCTGATCATAGATAGGACATGCGTTCATTCACTACGTGCTCGATCGCGGTGCAAAAGGAATTCAGTTTGGAAAAGAAAAAGAAATGCAATACTGGCGGTTGGCCGCAACATAAAGGAAGACAGCAAATCCCACGACGCCCCGATTGCCTGGATTGCTTCGTTCCCCCAACATTGGGGCCTGGGACATGTGAAGAGGTCAGCGGAGGAGAATGAGTTCGTCTTCAACTGCAAGTCTTATACCTTCGGCCGCCCCGACATTTATTCGGGGAGCCAAGCTACACTTCAATTGGCTCATTCGACACAGCTCCCTGCTGAGCGCTCTTCGCGGCTACAGGTTGGTCGAATCGATTTTTCGTCTTTCATTTCATTCGTGTAGAGCCACAAATCTCTTCTCAATTTTAATTCTACTGATTTTATATTACAACAATTGTAGGAATGGCATCGTGATGGGCGCTCGCATTCGATTACCCTATGTGATCCAGGCCTTCGTCTACGCCCTCCTCTATCGAGAGTCCAGGTTCGTCATCGATCATTTACCTCTTCCTTGTCCATCTTTGCTGCGTTCTCACAGCCGTTGTCGTTGTGTGTGCCGTGTGGCGTTCTTGCACGCGCTGTTGCATTTCACCACCACCCGTGCAGCTATCGTAACAGGCTGGTGTTTACGATGAAGCAGCTGGTGCAGCATGGCAAGAACCTCGGCATGTTCGTCGGCATCTACAAGGCCATCTGCTACATTCTCCGACGGATGGGCGTCGACGGCGGCCTCGAGTGTTGGATCGCAGGTGAGTCACTTGTGTGTGTGTGTGTGTGTGTGTTGCGTGCTGTCTGACACAACGACACGACACGACACGCAGGGTTTGTGGGTGGCTACATAGGGTTCGGCGACAGTAAGGGGCTGTCGGGGAGTGTAAATAATCAGATTGTGCTCTACCTGTTCGCGCGGGGCATCTACGGCCTCCTGGTGAGCGGCGTGCGGCGCGGCGTCATCCCGCAGACGCTCGACGTGCGCTCCGAGCGCGGGTTCAGAATATTTGCTGGATTCTCGCTGGCGCTCATCCTCTACCTCACCGAGTACGAGCCCGACACGCTCAACCCGTCCTTCATGGCCACCATGAACAACCTCTACTACGACAGGTACCCATTATTCTTCCGTTGCGTTGCATGTCGTGTGTCGTGTCGTGTCGTGTCGTGTTATTTTGTGCACTCACCAACGCCGCGCGTCGACGCACAGCGAGACGCTGCCACAGCCGTTGCTTCCGGCCAAGCGCTTCGTGCCGTTCGCCGCCCTGGCGACGTTGTCCCTCCTCAGCCCACTCTTCCCCTCGCTCACCCTCGAGTCCATGCTCGGCCGCATCCTCCGCTTTGTGGGCATCGAAGCCTCCCCCTCTTCCCCTCCTCCCTCCAAGTAATTGATACATACGTTGTTAATGTTACATGCCAACCATCATCACTATATAACAGTTGCATGCCAACCGTTCTTGTTGTTTTCCGCACACTGTGATCATATTACATGACGACGACGAAGACGATGATCAAGACTGGGTGTACTGGTCGAGGATGGTCTGCTGAGCGCCGATGCCGACGATGTCGGCTCGCTCGGGGTCGCGCATGCGGTTCACCCGCACGTCGGGTCCCGACGCGACGGAGGTGAGGTCGTGTGGCGTGATGAAGATGAACTGGCGGTGCCTCTGCTGTCGGGCCGACTCGATCAGCAGCTTGAGCGACAGGTGGCGGTTCACTGCGTCCATGAACACGTCGAACTCGTCCATCGCACGGAAGGGCGACTCCATCGCTGCGCGGCCACACGACACGTCAGCGCGTTCTATGTGTGCGGTGTGTGCGGTGTGTGCGGTGTGTGCGGTGTGTGCGGTGTGTGCGGTGTGTGCGGTGTGTGCGGTGTGTGCGGGATGATGGTACCTTCCCACAGGGAGAGCAGGAGAGCGACGGTGGAGAAGGAGCGTTCGCCGCCGGAGAGGGTTCGCGTGTCGCGTGCGCCCTGCGGACCGCCCTGAGCAGCGTCGAGCTGCACTTCGATGTCCAGGTGGCGGTGCTGGTGGTCGAACGAGAGCGACCTGGCCGTGTTGTTGTTGATCATGTTGATGTGAGAGATGAGCACAACATCAAACGTTGTTCCCCCCCCCCAATACGACGGGCGAAGTGGGCGCGTACCCGGCGTAGCCCTTGCGGCTCAGGAATCCGTGGAAGTGGAAGGTCGTCCGGTTGGCGATGGAGCGACGGAACAGGAGCCACTTGTTCAGACGATCCTGCGTCAAAGTGGCGAACCTGGTTAGCGCCGAGATAATGAAAATGCAACAAACAAACAAACAAACAATAAATAAATAAATAAATAAGGAGAAGCGAAGCTGTCTCTACCCTGAGGTCGTTTTCGAGGAGTTCGAGCAGGCTGCTCAACAGCTGCACCTTGAACGTGGCCTCGTCGTACGCCTTCTTGGCCGCCTTGAACTCGCGCGTGATCTCCGCCGGACTCCGTTGGCCGTCCTGTCCACACCAACACACACACGCACATCGCCCACCCAAGCAACAACGTTGAGTCGTTGACACTGCAGATGACACACACGACACACGACACACGACACACGACACACGACACACACAAGGCGCGCGGGGGTACCGTCTGCGAGCGGATGCGGGCCTCCATTTTCTGGATCTCGCGCTGGAGGTGGGCCGGCGGCGGCAGGTCCTCCTCGGGCCGCGGGACGGCCTGCTCGGCCCGGCGCATTTCCTCGTCCAGCGCGGCGCGCTGCTCCGCCAGCGACGTCTCCTCCTCCAGCTTGGACTGCATCAGCTTCTCCTTGTTGAGCACCATCTGCTTCTCCCTCGCCGCTATCTGCAATTCCACACACGCGCGCACACGCACGACACACGTCAGCAGCTGCTGACGTCATCACAGCGGGAAGGTGAGGGGAGGGCGTACGGTGGTGATGTTCTTGTGCACGCTCGTGAGCTTGGCGGCGATCTGTTCGCTGCGGGCGGCCAGGTTCTCGATCTCGGCCTTCTTCTCGGCGAACTTGTCCTGCAACGGCCCCAGCTCCTCCGGCACCTGGCCGGCCACCTCCATGGCCTTGGCCAGCTCGGCCTCGAGCTCCTCCTTCGTCTTCAGAAAACCCTGTTTCCCCATTGACACCCCAAAGTTAGAGACAAACCACACACGTGTCGTGTCGTGTCGTGTCGTGTCGTGTCGCGTGTCGTGTTGCGTGTCGTGTCGTTGGTCGTGTCGTGTCGTGGGTTGTGGGGGGTACCTCGAGACTGGTCTGAGCTTCGGAGATGTCGGGCGGGGCCTCCTCTCGCACCGATTGGAGCTCGTGGATGTCGGCCGTGAGCCGACCCTCGTCCCGCTTGAGCGCCGCCCGTTGCTTACGGAGCTGCGTGAGCGCTCGCGCGGTCTACGCCCCACCACCACCACCCACGATTGGATTGGCGTCAGCAAATAATGCGTGTGTGTCGTCGTGTGTGTGTGTGTGTGTGTGTGTGTGTGTGTGTGTGTGTGTGTGTGTGTGTGTGGCGTACGGCATCGGCAGCGCTTCGCAGCTCCTGCACGCGCGGCCTGAAGTGCGCGGCCTCCTTCTGCTTGTGCTCGAGCGCAACGTGGGCGTCCCGGATCTGCTCCTCGAAATTGCGGCCGAGCCTCCGCGCGCGCGTGTTTCCGGCGTTGAACACTTCAGCGCCGCCGCGCACCAGCAGTCGCGAGCCGTCCGGCAAGTAGCCCTCTCTCGCGTTCGGCGGCCGTTGTCGGAACATGATCTGATCATCAGTCGCAGTGGTGGTGTGGCGTGTAGTGGCGTGTAGTGAGATAAATCTGTGCAATGTGGTTGGCCAGTTACATAGCTGCACAAGTGAGGGGGGGGACCAACCTGTGAGGCCTGCTGTCGATCCGGGATGAGAATGATGTTATCGATCTGCCGCTGATCGATCAGGCAGTTGTACACCATGACCTGTGGTGCACGAGATCGTGTAGCGGAGGGACCGCCGCCACCGCCACCATCACCCGAACACGGTCAGTCAGACACAAGACGCACGCGAAGAAAAAAAAGGGGGGGGGAAGGGCGAGGGGCGTACTTCGTCGGCCTGGAGCTGAGAGAGGACGGTGGTGAGGTGGGGCGGAGGCAGCGCATTGTCCGGTATGTGGTAGACCCGGTCTTGGAACCGCTGCACATACATGTCCGGCACCTGCAGGTGATGAAGCAAGACACGACGCGTGAGCACTTGAGCGCTGAATTGATGGTTTTGTGGGGGTGGGGGAGAAGGGGGAAGAGGGGGGGGGTGATGACACACCTGCCCCACGCGCCGTCCGATCTCCTTGAGGATCTTCTCGTCGTGGTGGTTGTCGACGACAAAGGCGTCCATGGTACGACCGAGCGCGGTTTCGATGGCCGTCGCCCATTGGTCGTCCTTGATCGTCAGGCAAAGGCCCAGCGGGCCGATGGGCTTCTTTTGCCACCGACGCTCCCTGCTCTCGTCCCCGTTCGAACAAAGGGTTGTCAGTGTAACAAGTGGTCAGCCGCATAGAATGCTATCACAACACACACGCACACGATGCACACACACACACGACGCACACATGCCACACGCACGACACACACACACACACACACACAATTCGAGCAAAGAAGGCTGGCGTGGCAGTTGTCTCACGCACCTGTTGATGGCGTCGAGCAGGGCGGGCATGTTTCGGCCGAAGCAGCGCGTGCGGTCCGCCTTCTGCAGCTCCAGCGTGCGGATCTGGCCCTCGAGTTTTTGTGCCTGCACGCCACCGGGGCAAAAGAGCGACGTCGTGTGAATCCCAGGCGGTGAGAAGTGGAGAAGAGGGGGGGGGGGAAGCCGGCAAGGTGCGGATGTATGTACCTCCTGAACGACCTCGCGCTCCTTGGCGGTGAGGTCCTTCAGTTCGGCGTCGATGCTCTGGCGCTGGCGCTCGTGTTCGGCGAGCTCCTGGTCCATCGCCTCGGCCTTCTCGTGCTGCGCCTGCAACGCCGCCTGCAGCGCCGCGATCCTCTCCTGCCTCTCCAGCTTCTCCGCTCTGCGAAGGGTGGCGTCAGCAGAGGCGGGTGCGCCAGGCACGGGGAATGGGGCGAGCTGGTGTAGGCGCACTGTGTGTCGCGCATGGCCTTCTCCTGCACGTCGCTGATGAATTCCTGCAGCTTCCTGATACGCAGCGCCAGCTCGTCGCGCCTCTTCCGCAGGTCCTTGACCGTGTTCTGGTGGTGGCTCATGCCGCGCTTGATCTCGCCGATCTGGGTGCGGTAGGTCTCGACCTCCGCGGTGGCCGCACGGATCTGCGCGCCGGTTTCGTCCACCAGCTTCTGCCGGGCCTCGTACTTCTCCGTGAGCTTTTGCGTCGCGTTCTTGATCTGATGATGTTAACGACGACAGCGCAAGCAAGCTTTGGTGAGTCAAAAGAAATCTCAACAGTGTTGTGTTGCGCTGCGCTCGGGTGGGGGCGAGACGGCATGCGAAGGCAGTGGTGGCGGCCGCACCTTGTCCAGGACCTGGTCGTTCTTGTCGATCTCGCGCTGGCGGGCCTCGACCTTCTCGCGCAACTCGGCCAGCTCTTTTTCTCGGCCTTGAAGCTGCGCCCAAATCAGGTGGCCCTTCATTTTGCGGACCTGTTGCAGCGTGTTGTGCCACACGCGGGGTTAGCGAAGCTGCGCAAAGCTCAGCTGGCCTAGAGGGCCTTGATATAAAGCGTGAGTAGGGGGGGGAGAGGGGGGTGGGGTTGGCTGACCTGGCTTTCGAGGTCGCGCAGCTTGGCCACTTCCCTGAACTGATGCTCCAGCTCCTGGACCCTCTTCTTCAGGTCGGGCAGTACGTCTTGCTTATTCTCCAGCGTTTGCTTCATACCGTTCAGCTGGGGGGGAAAAAAACAACATTGTTGTCACAACGGCGCGGCGATGTCAGCACGTGGCTCGCGGCGCAATCATTGATGTGAGCTGTCAAAGGAAAGGAAAACGCACCTTGACGTCGACTGTGCGGTAGTCGTCACTGATCTGCTGGAGCTGGGTGGCGCTCAGGAAGAACTTGTACTTCTCGGCGGGCTTACTCGCGTTCAAGAACGCCCTGCTGGTGTCCTGCATGAGGATCACACAGGGGTTCTCGATCTGTATGTTGAACTGCTCCATCACCATCAGCACCTCACGCCTCGTTGTCGCGATCGTCTTGCCTGCACACAATCCAAAAGGGTGAGGTGGCTGGTGGCTCGAGCCACCCTCATGACCTGCTGGAGACTCGCGTACCGCTGTCACTCTTGACTTTGTAGCCCGACGAGCCGGACCGTGCGATGGTCCTAATGATGGTGATGGTCTTGCCGTAGAGGTCGGGCTTGTAGGCCTCCGCGCCACGATTGCGCAGCGTCACAGATACAGAGGCCGAGCTGTTGCGTGTGATGATGTGAGAGAAAAGAGAGAGCGCGAATGACCATCAAAGGGGGAGTCAACGAACCTGGCGTCTCCACGGATGAAGTTGGTAATCTTCTTTCCACGATTGGTGAAGCCAGCCTTTGCTCCCAAGCACACAGTGAGTGCGACCAGCACGGCGCTCTTACCGCCTTGGATTGGAGAGATGGGTTGATTGTTAGATAATAGCAAGATTAGCAGTTAACGGTTACAATTTGCGATTAAATTTGCCGTTAAATGAAATAATCTGGTGCGTGGGGTTGAACGTACTTCCATTTTGGCCAATGATGAAGTTGATGTTGGGTCCCAGCTTCAGCTCCAGGTGACGATGGCACATGAAGTTCTCGAGCTTGATCATTTCAATAATGCCCACCTCGGCTTCCGTTTGCTGCATGTTTCGATGCTTCTCGTGTCGTGTCAACTCTTCTTCATCCAGGTTTTGTAATTCTTGTTCGCCCTCGGCTTCCATTCGCGCGACTCGATCAAGGAGACGATTTTCAGACTCGCTGTAGTGAGATGTAGCGACATCCTCCTGCTCTTCTTCATTCGTGATCGAAGACAGCCGTGGCCGTTTGCTGGACCCACTGGCTTGTTCCCCATTCTTGACACCATCTCCCGATGGTGCTCGACGCTTCGGCGTGGCCTTCTGCATCTGCAAGCATCAAAGGTAATAAAAAATTCCACCAACTTTTTGCCAGTTGGCGCCATTTTGTGCCAACGACAAAAAAAATGAAGCCTTTTGTGAGGGGATCTCAACTTGAACATGTATCAGCACGATATCCCTAGAGCAACTTCTCAGCTTCCTTCATCCTGGTGGTGGCTGTGCTACATGACCAATGTTTGCTGTGGTGTAAAAAGGCCTTGGTGGCAGGATTCTCATCTCTGCAGCATTCGTGCACAATTATAATTCACGGCCTTTTCCCGTCTGCCTTTTTACTCTGCTATTCTGCCACCTTTCTCTCCGGCCCTGCTTTTTTCTGCATCTAAGCCACAAAAAGCCCATTTGTTGATTTCATCCACAACAGACAATGGTAATGAGTCGATTATTGTCATGCTCCCTCTTTGTCTTCCCTTTGAAGCTGCGCTTGTGTCCTCGTGCCGCTGCGGCTTTGAGATCGCCATCCAAATATACCGCCTGATCGCTGACATGGGGACACAATTGTCACATTGCAGAGACCGATTCTGCTCAAGGGACACGAGAGGGCGCTCACGTTCTTGAAGTACAACAGAGATGGCGATCTGATCTTCAGTGCCGCCAAGGATCCCACCCCGTGCGTGTGGTTCTCCGACACCGGTGAGCGCCTCGGCACCTACAAGGGCCACACCGGTGCTGTGTGGTCGCTTGATGTCTCATGTACGCTCCAATTTCCTCATTCTCTGCGTTCGGCATCAATCAACCTCCTGCTACATTTTTCTTATGATTTCGTTTTGTTTACAGGGGATAGCAAGCTTCTTCTCACTGCTTCCGCCGACACCACGGCCAAGCTTTGGAATGTTGAGACCGGCGAGGAGCTCTTCTCCTGGTATGCCCTCTACACCGAAAATTGTTGCCAATTTTACCATGTAGATTGGTGGATTCGCCAATCTCCAGATAAATCTGTACGTTCTTCGGTTGACATTGAAATCTGCGCGCTATCAGGTCTCACCGAGCACCCGTGAGGTGCGTCGCTTTTGCCAAGGGCGACCGCAAATTCCTTGCGGTGACTGATCCCTTCACCAAGCTGGCCTCGTCCATCTACATCTACAAGCTCGACCCCGAGAGGCCCGCCAAACGTACGGTGGCGGCGTACACCGCGCTACATGTTGGTGCCTCTTGTCTGTGCTAACCTTCTCACTTCTTTGGGCCGCACTGCAGAGAACCCGCTGCCCATGCGGGAGATCGTGGCTCCCACGCCCAGCGCGAAGATCACACAAGCGCTGTGGGGACCCCTCAACAAATACATCATCTACTCCAGCGAGGACTGCTCGGTGTACATACACGATCCTGAGGTTCGCTTCTTCTACTTCTCCTTTCCCTGTTGTCATACGCACCACAATGGTTTGTGTTCTGATCTCTCTTCTACTTGACCAAATACAGAGCGGAGAGCTCCTGCACACAATCACGGACCACCAGGCTCAGGTGAACTCCATCGCCTTCTCGTGGGACGAGACCTACTTCATCACATCGTCGGATGACCGTACCGCCAGGGTAAGCCAACAGCCACTTCCCTCTCCACTTGAGGCTTGCGCACTCACCTTCTTCTTCTACTATTTCTTCCATTCCCCAGTTGTACGACAGCAAGACGTTCAAGCTGCTGAAGACGTTCGAGTCGGCCAAGCCCGTGAACTCGGCTGCGATCTCGCCCATCCTGGACCACGTCCTGCTGGGTGGTGGTCAGAAGGCGCACGGTGTGACCACCTCCGCCGTCGAGTCTGGCGGTTTCGAGGCCCGCATCTACGACATGATTTTCGAGGAGGAGCTGGGCTCCATCAAGGGCCACTTCGGTCCCATCAACACCATCTCCTACGCTCCCGACGGCAAGAGGTATATAACGTCACAACATCGTCTTGCTACATCTTTTTTTTTCCTCTCTCTTCTTCTACTCGAGCCATCATGTCTCATTTCCATCTTCTTCTACTCGAAACAGCTACACGAGCGGAAGTGAGGATGGTTACATGAGGATCTACCACCTGGACAAGTTCTACTTCACCCTCGGCAGGGACTCTGTGGGCAACTTCCAGGACCAGCTCGACCTCGACGACTTCTAAGCCTCGGCCCCCCACAGTGCCCTCCTCTTTTTGTGTTTTTTTGCCCGGCTCTCTACTAAAGAATGTGATGAACGCACCCAATTTGGCTTGGCATACCAAACATTTTTGGATTGATTGCTCATTGTCTTTTCCGGCGCTTTTCGCTTGGGGAAGAAGTAGTTCCCGCAGCGAGGCCTCTTCTACTTGCTGTCGCGAACAAATCGACAAACTATACGCGCGCACAACATAACACGAGGATGAGCGAACGAGTTTCGATGGATGCTGTGGTCGCGCAGCTCGAGCGCGATCTTGCCTCGCCGGCAGCGGCGCTTGCCGGTACGCATCCGATCTCAAATTTCTGTAGATTGCTCTGCGCCATCGACAAGGCCGAGGCTTGACTGCGATTAACAACACCTGCTGCTGCGTTGCACCACAGGAGCGGGAGGCGGAGCGATCTCGCTGGGCCTTACCTACCCGCTGTACACCATCGTCACCAAGCTGCAGGCACGTAGCTGATAATTTTTATTTTTATTTTTATTTTGTTACAGCGTAATAATAATAAGCCATATAAATGAATAAATAACAAATAATTCATAAATAATAAATGAATGATTGTCTGGTCACGTGCAGGTGAGGTCCAACTACGGAGGACCGATCGACACGTTCTTGCACGTGCTGCGCGAGGAGGGCTGGACGTCCCTCTACGCCGGCCTCGCTCCCGCCCTCATCGGCAACGCCTACGCCCAAGGCACGCACACGCACCACCGCACACGCACACGCGCTGCCATGCAACCTTCTTCTCGTTTCTTATTTTGCGCCTTGTGTGTCGTGTCGTGTTGCGGGTGTCGTGTCGTGCAGGCGTGTACTACTACTGGTACGCGTTCTTCCGTTCCGTCGCCGAAGGCAAGGGTCCCAAGAAGCGAGCCGTGGGCACTTTCGCCTCCCTCCTCATCGGCGGTAGAACACCTCTCCACCTCCACCTTCTCCCAGCCATCCAAACTCTCTTCTCATCACATCTTCTTTCCTCCTCCTCCTCCTCCTCATCATCTTCTTCTTCCCCTTCTTCTTTTCACAGCACTCGCCGGAGCCATCACCGTCATCTTCACCAACCCATTCTGGTCCGCGCTCCAATGCCTCCATCATTTTTGTAATTGTAATTGTAATTGTAATTGTAATCGTATTTGTATTTATTTGTATATTTGTATTTGATTATTATTTATAATATAATAATTCTAATAAAATGAATGTGGCGACAGGGTGGTGACCACTCGCCTGCAGACGGGCCGTGAGACGACCAAGAAGGACGACGAGGTCGGCTTCAAGACGGCGAGGCCCAAGCAGAAGGGCATCCTGCAGGTCGTCCAGGAGATCTACCAGGAGGGCGGCCTCAAGGCCTTCTGGAACGGGCTCGTGCCCTCCCTGATCCTCGTCATCAACCCGGCCCTCCAGTACATGGTGCGTGTGGTACCCATTGCTCCCATGTCTCGGTTGCTTACCTTTGACGTCGTGTGTCGTGTCGTGCGTGTGCGGTGTGTTGTGCGTGTGGTGCATTGAAGGTGTTCGAGCGGGTCAAGGCGGTGTGGGAAAAGCGGACCCCGGGGCGCCAGCTCTCCTCGTCCGATTTCTTCCTCCTCGGCGCCATCGCCAAGACGGTGGCCACCGTTGTCACATGTACACCAACCCCTCCCGGCAATGTCGATGAACGTGTCGTGTGTCGTGTGTCGTGTGTGTGTGTGTGCGCGCGCGCGCGTGTGTGTGTCGCGCTCTCATCCCCCCCCCGATGCAGATCCGTACATCACGGTGAAGACCCGACTGCAGGCCAAGGGCAAGTACTCGGGCACGCTCGATGTGCTCCAGAAGATCTACACCCAGGAGGGCATCGGCTCCTTCTTCAAGGGTACTACACTCCCCCCCGCCGCCACTTGGCTTAAGACTGTTCACTAATCACTGCAAATGACGTGTGTACCCAACACACACACACACGACACACCCAACACACACACACACACATCACAGGGATTGAGTCAAAGATCGTGCAGTCGGTGCTCACCGCCGCGTTCCTGTTCATGTTCCAGAACAAGCTGGCCAACTCCTTCCTCAAGCTGCTGGTCTACATCTACATCAGGCGCCTTCCGCAACGCAAGTAAATAAAATGAATTGTTGGGTAGACGTGCACACCCTCATAACCATCACCAAGTGCCAGGTCCAAGGCGGAGGCGGTGGTAGTGGTGGTGGTGAGGCGGTGGTGGTGCGGCAGTGCAGCAGTGGCGGTGGTGTGGTGGTGGTGGTGGAGTTATTCATTCTGTGCTGATGTCAACCTGCTGGTGTGTACAGGGGCAGCCAAGGTCACTGAGCACTGTGAAGTAGTGGGTGTGCACTTGAGCTCCTGTCTGACCTCAAACCACCTGCAACAATGAGAGAAGAGGAAGAGCACAAAAAGGCATTGCCAGGACCGGGAATTGAACCCGGGTTGTTGGTACCACAAACCAATGTACTACCACTATACTATCCCAGCTGCGGGCCTTGTTATGCATTATTGTGACGGGTCGTAGCCATCGGATTGTGTTCGGTCTGTGGTACAAAAGAAAACGATTCCAATCAGCCAGGGTCCTGCTGTTTGGCTGCTAGCCCTGCTTGCTGTATTGGCGGAAGCGCTCATCTCGGTCCAGAATGGCCCAAAGAGGCTCGCTGAGCGACAAGTTGACATCGATGCTGCCGGTGGTGGCTCCGGCGCTCGGGTTCTGCCCCTCCTCAGTCGAGTCGTCAGCTGTCGACTGGCGCAGCTGGTCTTCGGTGGCCACAAAATAGGCCAACCCGTCGACAAGCGAGATGGGCGTGAAGGGCGGCGACACGAGCGTCGGCAGCGAATCGAACTCGGCGCCGCGGTACATGTCGAACTTGCACCACTGGCTCACGAGGAAGCTGCCTGCCTCGAAGCGGAAGCCGAGCCGCACCCGGCGCTTGTTCGGCTGCGCGGCGATCCAGTGCAGCGACTGCAGCGCCTCCTGCCGGCTGAGCGATCGGACGGCGTCGTGCACCGCGGCAGCGACGCTGGCCAGCGGCGCGTCGGCCAGGCGGTCGGCGGGCAGAGAGAAGAAGGGGCAGAAGATGCAGTTGGGGAAGTAGCGCGCCGGCAGGTCGAGCCGGCTCGGGCCGCGCCAGTTGACCGACGTCAGAAAGTCGCGCGACACGTGCAGCGCAGCCGCGCTCGCCGACATGCCCCGCGACTCGCACAAGCGCAGGCGCGCGCGGTACACGCACTGCCACAGGTGCGCCGACAGAGCGTCGAAAGTCGACAGTTGCTGCTGCGCACCACCGCTCGCACTCGCGTTGGCCTCTGCCTTGAGCGCCTCGAGCTCGCGCGCGGCGAAGCGCAGCACGCGACCGGTGATGGGCGGCGCAGGCGCAGGCGCCGCTGCCGTCTGCAGCGGAGGCTCGGCCGATGGCGCTTCAGACGCGGCTGGCGCAGGCGGCGTGGCTTCGTCGAGTTCGAAGACCGATGGCTTGAACGCGAGCGCCGCTTCGCGCTCCTCCGGCCGCATGCGCTCGCACAGGTCGGTCAGGTAGGACTGAATGTGAGGCGGGCGGCGGAGCTGCACTGGTGCGCCGGTGCCGGCGGCGTCGGCTGCGCGGAGGGCGCGATACAGCTCGGCCAGGTCGCGCACGAACTGGAAGAAGCCGTCGGCGTCGCAGACCATGTGGAGCAGGCGCACGCCGAGCGCGACGCCGCCGCACGCGAAGCGCGTGTGCTGCACCGTCAAGATCGGGTCGCGACACACGCCCTCCATGCTGGGGTCGAACGGGGCCAGCAGTGCGTTGCCGCCGGCCCCGGGCAGGTTCAGTACGAGCAGGCGCGGCGCGGCGCCGTCGTCGTCGTCGTCGTCGGACGGGGCCGCAGCGGCGGCGTGAAACGCTTCAAGCGGTGCATCGCACTGCGCCGACACCAGCTCGGCACCGGTGCCGAGGCGATCGATCTCGGGCGTCTGGTCCTGCGGATTGAACGCAATACGGCCCGTCAGATGCGGATAGTAGTCCAGCAGGTGGGCCAGGGCTCGATGGAGTCGCTCGATTGGGATCAGCTCGCTGCCACTGTTCGGTGGTGACGGAGATGGAGATGGAGATGATGGAGTCGCCTCGGGTCGGTAGACGAAGACGACTGCGATAGGCACGAAAGGCGGCACCACCTGGTCGAAGGGACCCAGGTGCATCGGCGACTCGATGCGCCGCAGCGAGGTATCATCGGCGCACTGCAGCGGATACCGCGCCAGCACCGTCACAGCCGAGGCATCGCTGGTTGACGTCGAGTCGGACGCGGCGCTCATGTGGAAGACAGGGGAGGGAGTGGTTCAAAGCTACGACGGCGAAAAGACCAAGAGCGGGATGAGAGGTTGGACATCCATTTTATTGAGAGAAATAAAAGAAATTTATTGCCACGTTTTTTGGTGAATGCCAGGATTTCCTTCATTCTTCTTTGATTTCTTCTGCTTTCCTTCTGTGGCACGTGACTTAATAAAGAGGTCTTTTTACCGTTTTCAGTTCTCCATGTATTGTGTGGACTGAACCAAGCTTGGTTGTTCCTTGGTGTGGCAGCCAGTGGTTGCTGTGTGGTGGCTGCCTGCAACAAGGCCCGCAGCTGGGATAGTATAGTGGTAGTACATTGGTTTGTGGTACCAACAACCCGGGTTCAATTCCCGGTCCTGGCAATGCCTTTTTGTGCTCTTCCTCTTCTCTTATTGCTGCAAGTGGTTTTAGGTCAGACAGGAGCTCAAGTGCACATGTCAGTCTTCTTTGCTGTGTACTGTACGCCTTCAGGGGTGACCAGTTTGGTTGATCAATAAATAAATATATTTGAAAAATCAACATGTGCGAGCTAGTGTGGTGGTCTTGATCAGAGCTTCCAGCCTGAGTGGATGGCGGCCACGCCAAAGGTGAGGTTTTCGAAGGTCACCGCCCGGAAGCCCGCCTGTCCGATCATATCGGCAAACACCTCCTGCCTCGGGAACCGTCTGCGATGTGCCATGATGAAGATGATGATGACGACGATGAAAGGAAGGTGGCCACAATTAGCTTTCATTGCAATGAAAAGAAAGAATCAAAGAATGCAGGAATGGGTGTGGTGTATGAGGGAGTGAGGCGTGCCTGATGCTTTCTACAAGGTACTGGTAGGAGTCCATGTCACCGGCCACGACGTGGCCCATGACGGGGATGACCTGGAACGAGTAGGTGTCGTACACCTGCTGCATGAGGTGGTTCTCGAGGTGCGAGAACTCGAGACACATGAATCGTCCGCCCTTCTTCAGCACGCGGTACGCTTCCTGTGGTGGCAGACAACCAACAACCACAAGCAGACAGACAATCATTACAACGTTGTTCGTCAAGTGAAGGGAATTCATTGTATGAAAGTGGGTGCAGGTGGGCGGGGGAGGAGGGACCTTGATCACTTTGTCGATGTGGGTGCAGTTCCTGATGCCAAAGGCAATCGTGAAGGCGTCCATGGAGGCGTCGTCGATGGGCAGCTGCTCGGCGTCGCCCACCACCCAGGCCACCGACGGATCTATCATCAGAGACGACGACGCAGGTTCAGGGTACACTCGAGTGACAGTGTCAGACGTCAACTTGGTGCATATCGGAGTCGTACCGGTGCTTTCTGTGTACCCGCGAGCGATGCCTCGCTCCTTGCCCACGGCGAGCATGGACGGGTTGATGTCGCACACGGTGACCGAAGACGATGCTCGCTGACCGGTTCCTGGGTTGGTTCAGTGCCAACGCCGCAACCGCCCGCGGTGGTGGTGGTGAGCACATGGGGACCGCACGGCGTGGGGAGGAGAGTAGCGAAAGGCAAAGTGGTACCGGGGGCCTTGGAGAAGAAAGTGGAGGTGCTCTTCATGCGGTCGAGGCAGCGGAAGGCAATGTCGCCGGTGCCGCCGGCCACGTCGAGAATGCGCGTGCCTGGCAGCGGGTTCAAGGTTGTCACGAACCGGTCCTTCCAATATCTAGATAAATAATAAATAATAAAACATGTGAGCGTAAAATCGCGATTCTGCCAATTCGAGTAAAATGCAAAGTAGTGAGGACAGGGCACCTGTGCACACCAGCGGACATGACGTCGTTCATGAGGTCGTAGTTGGAGGCAACGCGATGGAAGACTTCCCCGACCATCGACGCCTTCTCCTTGGCTCGCACATTTTTGAAGCCGAAATGTGTAACCTCCTCTTCTTCCTCTCGCTGCTTCGGGGCAGCGTTTGCAGGCGGGGGAGATGCGTGGAGAGATGCAGCTGCGGGAGATGGAGATGTAGAGTAGGTGCGCTGCAAAAGAGAGCCAATAACCGCAGATTTCGCGCCATTCGATGCAAATGAGAAGGAAGGCAACAAGCAAAACGAAGCATTGGAAACCGTTCTATTCACCGCCCCCATGCCGGCGAACATCGGAACTGTGGTCGTCGATGCCTTCCTCATCTTCAAGTACCAACGGGTTGATCTCGAGATTGCGCAAATCAATTCAAAACTGTTTTTTTTTCCATTGTCGACACATTCGCGGAGCTTCCAGAAGGAAAGGCCATTTCTGTATTTTCTTTTCGTTGCTGCCCATTCATCACATCGCCCGCGTTTCCATTTCTATCCAAGATGTCCGATTCGACCACCCCCACCACCGAGACCAAGCCCGAGGAGACGAAGACGGAAGAGACTCCCGCCGTCGCTGCCGAGGGTCAGACCCCCGCTGCGGAGGAGACCAAGACGGAGGAGACTCCCGCCCCCGCCGCTGAGGGCCAGACCCCCGCTGCTGAGGGTGCTGCCGCTGAGGGCGACCTCTCCGAGGTGAAGGTCGTCACCAACGAGGAGAATGAGGAGACTCTGTTCAAGGTGTACGTAGTTACTCCGCGCAGCGCATCATTTTTCTCTCGCATTTTTCGGCTCTACGCAATTCTGATCTTCACTTTCGCTCTGCACTTGGCAGCCGCGCCAAGCTGTTCCGCTTCGCCAAGGAGACCAGCGAATGGAAGGAGAGGGGCGTGGGTGATGTCAAGTTCTTGAAGCACAAGGAGAGCGGCAAGATCCGCGTGCTCATGCGCCGAGAGAAGACCCTCAAGATCTGCGCTAACCACTACAGTACGTACTGCATCTTGAATTTTTGATTTTGAACTCCAAATCTCATTCTTAAATCTCTGGTGTAACTGTACAGTTCTCCCCGCCATTAAGCTCGAGACCAACGCTGGCAGCGACAGGTCGTGGGTGTGGACTGCCTACTCTGACGTCTCCGATGAGGAGGCTGGCGTTAGGGACGACGTCTTGGCGATTAGGTTTGCCAATTCTGAGAGTACGTGCCATCACCTTGCTCGCGCCTCAAAGTCAAGGCTCATTTTACTGATTTTTGTCATCTGCAGACGCCACTAAGTTCAAGGAGGAGTTCGAGAAGTGCCAGGCCGAGATGGAGAAGCTTTCCAGCGACAAGAAGGAGTAAAACCCCTTGCATGCTTCTTGATTCTGCACCCTATAAATAAGTTCAAATCTCTTCATTCGCAATCACGTTATCGCCCTCACTACGCCCAGGGGTCTTCGTCTTCTTCGCTCTCTTCCTCATCTTCCGATTCCTCGTCATCTGGGTACTCGTTCGGTTCCTCGTCCTGCATGAGCAGCCGGCTGTAGAACCCTGGTCGCGCCTCTCCCGCCGCCGCACCATCCAGTATCTCGAACGGCTCCACCTCCTCGTCTTCGTCGTCATCGTCGCCTCCTTTCGCTCCTTCTCGCGCAGCCGCTCCGCCCACGCCCGCCCTCAGCATCCGCTCGAGCATGCTCATGCTCGCCCCGATCTTCTCCGCGTGGACGGCCAGCGGCGCCGGCGGCGCTGCTTCCTGTGCCGCGCCCGCGCCCGGCAGCTGCATGGGCGTGCCGGCAGGCGATGGCAGCTCCTCCTCTTCAGCCTCGCCCTCGCCTTCCTCCAGCCGCCCTCGCTTGCTCTTGGTGTTGGCCTCGTTGACGAGCATGGTCAAGCGTTCGGTCATCAGCTTGCGAATCGCGTCCAGCGTCCGCTGCGTGTAGAACCCGTTGGCTCGCTGTGTGCCGTGAAGGCGAGCGCGCTTCAGCAAACAATTCGATCGTATACACCGCACAATGTGGCCTTCAAGAAAGACGGCGTTGGTGAGCGAGGAGAAGAAGGCAAAGCGCGTACGTTGCAGGTGGTGGTGAAGGCGTCGGGCGCTTGGACGAGCTTCTGGATGCGGGTGTCGTCAATGTCGCACAGCTGGTACAGCGTCTGCTGGCGGCTGGGCAGGATCGCGAAGCGGTGCTCCAGCTGCAGCTCCTTTCGCTCCACCCTGAGTGGCAACGATGGGTGAGACCAACATCACAGACCACAGACCACCTGCATCGGGCGGGTGGGTGGAGGAGCAAAGTAGTAGTACTGGGAGGGGGCGGAGGCGGGCTCCAGCATGGTGGAGACGTCCATCTGCATGTTGAGCTTGCGTCGGCGCGGCGCGTGTTGCGTGTAGCCCAGGTGTCGCTGGCGGGTGTGGCCCGGCGGAACGCGGAAGTCGATGACCTGATACCTGCAAGCGATGAAGCCGTCAGTCAGTCAGTCGCTGGGTCGATGGGGAAATATTGGGGGGGGGGGAAGATGGGCAGCCGTACACGCGAGCGTCGGTGTGCTGGCGCGGGTCGTAGCCGTAGCGCACCCACATCTTGCGCCACGGCCCGCTCTTGAAATGGTACGCCACCGCCGACAGCGCCCTGTGACACGCACGCCACGCCACGCCACGCACGCAAACAAACGAAAGTGTTGGAAATTTGCTTCTTCCGGGCCAGCGAGATGGCGGCGGCGCACCTCTTGACTTTGGAGGCGAGCTCGGACGGGACGTTGGCGCGGAGGGCCACGGTGGACCAGACCGGGCGCTGCTCGAACAGGGTGCGGAGGAGGCCCTCCAGGCGCTTCAGGTCTTTGCTCTTCCGCTGGTCGTCCGGCGGCGCGCCCTGCGGCACCACCTCTGCCACGCGCGCCGGCGCACCCCATCGCCGGCGAGGTTAGCCTTCCGACGCGCCAGAGGCTATGTGCAGCGCGTGTCGTGGTTTCGCGTGTGACACGCACGACACACCACACGACACACGACACCAACGGCAAACGCACCTTCATCAAAGGCCACCGCTGGGAGACGGAACGAAGTCGCAGGCTGGCGTCTCAGCGCTCGCTCGAACTTCTTGGTGACCTGGTCCAGCGACAGAGAATGAATGCCAAGAATTCGGGGGGGGGGGTGAGCCGGTACTCTCTCCCCCAAAGCAAGGGCGGCCACGCAAGCAGGAAAGGAAGGCGGGGCCGGGCGGTACCTCGCCGTCGGGTCCCTGCTCCTCGACGACCCGGAAGAGGAGGTTGGGCAGGAACCGGTAGTTCTGCGGCATGTCCACCTTGGAGAAGATGGGCGGCGGCAGGTGCATGGGCTCGTCCTTCTCGCCCCAGTCTGGCGGCGGAGTGAGTCAGTCGGACCACAGCGCCAAGCCGCTGTGTGTCGTGTCGTGTCGTGTCGTGTCGTGTCGTGTCGTGCCGTGGGCAAGAGGGCCGCGTGCCTTGGCTCACAAGCTGGAAGGCCCCTCGCTGTTCCTTCACCACCACCTCGGAGGGCGGCACGTACTGGAAATCCGCCATTCCTTGAGCGGAGCGAGAGAGAGAGAGAGAGAGATGAGTGTGAGCCATCACCAGCATCAACATCGCTGCTGCCCCACGCGCCAACCACTCAAAAGGTTGTTCCGTACCCTTGAACTGGTACACGGCGGGGATCATGGCCACCACTTCAGCCTTGAAGTCGCTCGGCTTGTCTGTTTTGTTTGTAGAGGGGAGAGAGGGAAGTGTTGGCAAAAGCAGCACAGCAGGTAGAAGAGAAGAGAAGAGAAGAGAGAGCGCATTGGCTTGGGAAGAAGGAAGAGGACCTTGCTGTGGTTGTGGCACCGATGATGGCGTAGAGGAGGAGGAGGTGGAAGAGGTGGCGGGGGTGGCCGGGGCGGCTTTCTTGCGTCTGCGGGTGACCTTCAGGAGGAGCGAAGAGCCCAGCGTGTAGTCACCGAACAGGGGGTGCGCGTAGGGATCCTCTGGACGAAAGCGCAGCTCCAGGAGCTTGGCCGCCTCTTCGAACGCCTGCCCTTCCGACAGTCGGCACCGTTGTAAACAGAAGCACTTCAATATAGATGGCTGGGGGCAACAGCAGTATCGTAGCGGCATCTGCGTACCTTGGTAAGCGCAGGGAGGCCGCCGAGGGTTGTGATGGCGCGTTGGACATCGCGTACGTGGGCAGGGTGCTCTACGCACAGGAGGGAGCGCGATGGCAGTGGAAATGAGGGGGCTGGCTTGAATGGAGCACCACCGTCCGCCGGTGTCTCCTGCAAGATCGAATCCCCTCCAGCCGGTTCGTCCTGTGCTCCCTCCGCTCTGGTTGGAGGAGTCCCCTGATGAGCCGCCTCGCTCTCAATCTCCATCAGCTCCATCTTTTTATTTTTATTTCAAGAAGAAACACAATTTCCGATCAATTTCTTTTACTACTTGTTGCGAGGCTACGGTCCGCCCAGAAAGCCCAGACACGAACATTCCTCGCATCGCAACCCGGAGTCACACCCGGACTTCCGGCCATTGTTGTCGATGGCCAATCGTCGCCGGACAATGGAGTCTTTGTCGCTGGCCCCCTCCCCCCCTGCCGTCTCGTGACGGCGGATCTTACCTTTCTGCACCTCCAAGCGCCCAACAAGGCCTGGTTGACCCCCGTTTGTTCTCCTCACTCTGCCGCTCTGCCGCCCGACATCAACACACCACCAACAACAGCCAAGCACTCGACCACCTTCTTGGCCTTGAGCGTCTGCAGGCAACGAAGTAGAACTAAGAAGTTGAAGTTAAAAAGTAGAGGACGAGGAAGAAGAAAGATGGACGTGAGTGCAGAGGAGTACCTGAACTGGGGCCGCACGCGGCTGAGGGTGGAGCTGAAGAAGCGCGGCCTGTCGCCGTCGGGCCTCAAGACTGAGCTGCTGGCCCGTCTCGAGGAGTACTTCAAGCGGCAGAAGGCGAGCGGAGGAGGGGCAGGCCACCACCTCAGCCTCAACAACAACAACCACCACCACGGCAGCTACTCCAACAATAACAACAACAGACATAGCCACGGCCATGGCCACCAGCGCTCGACTCCATCTTCTTCTGCTTCTTCGGCCCCGGCGGGTGGTCACTCGCAGCAGCACCTCCTTCCCAAGCAACACCACTCCAAGCAGTTGTTAGACCTCTTCCACCACCAACTCCAGCAACAGCAGCAGAGCGAAGCTGCCGCCCTTGGGTACGTTGCGCAAACGACTCCCTTCACCCTTTCCTCCTTCTCCTTCCACTTCCACCTCGTCTCCCTTTCTATGTTTTAAGAAAGGGCTGGGGCAGCCGTACTTTTCGTGGCCGTCTTCTTCTTGTTGTTGTTGTTGCGAAGTTTCTTCTTCTCCCTCGAGGCCTCGCCTAATTGTGTTGTTTCGGGCGTGTTTCAGGCGTGAGCTGCCGAGGAAGCGGTCCAGGAAGAGCCAAACCCCCCGGCGCGGGCTTCAGCCCCAGGGGGGCAGCGACAACACGAGCAGCGAGGGCGAAGGGAGCGACCATACCAGCGGTGGCGGGAGCCCCCACTCCTCGACGTCGTCGCCCTCGCTCGGCGGCGGCGGCTATGGAAGCAGCAACTCGTACGGCAGCGACGTCATCCACCAGACGAACAACAGCTACAACCACCTGGGCAACGACTACCCGTCGCACTACCCCCACAAGAAGCCCCGGCTGGGCCAGCGCTACAGTCAGATGACGCACGAGAGCGACGACAACGGGAGCGGCAACGGGAGCGGCGGCAGCGGGGGAGCCGTACCGGACGGGGAGCAGCAGCAGCAGTCGTCGGGCGGCAAGGCGGTGACCCCTCTGTCGGGGCGGGCCTTCAAGAAGGAGTCGGGCCAGGTGCAGGCGCCGCACGCCGAGGTGCGGAGCGTCGAGACGATCGTGTTCGGGCCGGGCGACCAGTTCCACTTCACCCACCGCTTCTGGCGAGGCAAGCTGCTTCGGCGACGGTTCGACTTCTACGGTACCTACACGATCGTACCGGTCGCGGGCGCTCCCGTCGATGGTGGTGGTGCCGCTGGGGGGCGCGCTGCTGCGTCTGCTGGCAGCGCCGACCTGCATCTCGACGACCTCGTGGCGCTGAGCTGTGCGCTCGTGGCTGCGGCCCGTGCGGGCGAGAAGGACGGCGCGGCGATGGCCAAGGCCGACGAGAACCGTCTGAGGGAGCGCACTGAGGGCAAGGTCATCCTCCACTGGCCCTCGAAGCTCGACGCGCCCGAGCTGCGCGACTGGCAGTTCGATCAGAGCTACTCGCACCTCTTCCTCGCTGCCACGGCCGCACCGTCTTCTTCATCATCGACCACTGGTGGTGCCACGGCGGGGAGCGGTGGCCTCGGGTCCTCCTCCGATGCGACGCAGCCGGGCAGCACGTCCCCCGTCGTCCAGGGGAACTCTGCCAGCAGCAGCGGACCTCAGGCGCGTAAGCGGCCGCACTTCCTCTACACCAAGCATAGTGCTGTGTTCGTAGAAGACACCTGCTAACGCGCCCCGCAGCGATTGTATAGTATATAGACAACCACACAACAACAACAAGGACTTGCATACTACCCACCACCCCAGAGGAGAGGGATAGAATGAGAGTACATGAAGCTGTTCATTAGCCTTAGCCTCTCCTCTCCGCCCGGTGGGCGATTTCGGTGAGCTCCCTCGCGGCCACACGTAGCCCGAGCTCCTGGGCCGAGTTGGTCTGGACCAGCACCCGCTCGCGCAGAAGTAATCGCTCCTGCACCCTCTCTGCACTCCCGCCGCGACGAGATTTGTGAGCAGTCCAGTCTTGTACACGACACAACAGTCAACGTACGTAAGCCCGCTAAGTCCGCCAGCAGCCGGGATGCCGAAGAAGAAGAAATGATCCCTCCATCGGTGGTGGCCGCTTCTGCCGCTTGGTTCACCTTCGTCCCCTCCTCTCGCCTGGTCGTCCCCTCTACTCCTCCCCTCGTCTCCTGCATCTCCATCGCCTACTACCAGGACAAGCAAGTCACTTGGCCACTACGCGGCCTTTCGCTTTTCACCTTCTTTGCCTGCGTTTTTCTTTGCCAGCAGCTCCACCAACCCGTTCCCGCCAAAACGCACCATTGGGCAGACAATGTTCGGCCGAAACATTGGCTACCGTTCCTTCTCTCGCTGTAGGTTGATGTGCAACACGTTTTTATATATTATGGCCGAGGGAGGAGGCTGGGGTCGGCGCGGACGGGGGCGAGCTGGAGCTGCTGCTCGTCGAGGAGGGAGAAGACCCAGTCGATGAGGTCGGTCAGCGGCGCGAGGGCGGTGAGCGAGGCAGTCGACGCGTGTTGCATGTCCTCGGGGCTCAACTGCGGGAAGCCATGCTGCGTGAGCATCGCAATCTTCTGCTGCTGGGCCTCCTCGCCCAGCGTCGTCGAGTACTCCTGCACCAGCCCACTCACCGCCTATTCCCCCGTTAACTCGTGTGTTATCGATCGTGTGCGCGTGCGTGTGTCATCGGTCGTGTGGTCTCGGTGGTTGTATGTACCTCTCGCAAGGGCAAGAGCCACTGGGCCTTGACCCACTCGACGAGGTCGGGCCGCCACACACCGACGACAGCCTGGGCGCCTCGGTCGCGGAGCAGGAGGAAGCGGTAGAAGTTGAGGCTGTGCATGAGCAGGTCGAGCTGTTCGATGGGGGCCTTGCAGTGCATGAAGTGCGGGAAGAGGTCGACGAGCTTGGGGCTGGCGAAGGGCGGGCAGTGCGTGCCCGCGGGACTGCCCCGGGCGGGCCACGCCCGCAGGGTCTCGTCCTTGAGCCGCGCCACGAGCAGGCCCGCCACCGCCGCGTAGGGGCAGTCCTGCAGCAGCGATCCCAGCACACGGAACCGCTCCCACGGACCCAGTAGGGTGAAAAGAGCGCCGAGGCAGCCGTAGGCGGTCTGTCGCTCCCCCTCCACCGGGTTGCTCACCATGTACGTGATCACGTCCTGGTTGGCGTGTGTCGTGTGTCGTATACCGTGAGCGCGCGTCGTGTGTGTCGTGTTGTTGGTCGTGTCGTTGCAGGAGCGCAGTGAAAGAAACTGCTGAGTGGTACCTTGCACAGCTCTCGCCATTGGTCGAGGGAGGCGCCGAGGCCGGCCAGGACGGGCTCGGACACCTCGCCGGCAGAACCGCGCAGGAGGTCTGTGAAGTGGACCAACAGGCGATGGCCCTTGAACGACGCGTTGGGCGCCGGCCTGTGCGGATTCGCCAACGTACGCGTTAGGGGGGGGGCGACATCAAAGCGACTGACGCAGATGTGGGGGGGGGTAGGTACTCTCGCAGGAGTTGGCTGAGGCTGGGGAGGATCCGGCAGAAGCTGTAGAGCGAGGAGCTGACCATCGGCAGGCAGTGCTGCGACAGGGTGACGTCAGGCGGTTGCACGAAGACGAGGTAGGCGTAGACGCCCACGCCGCTCGGGTTGATCGTGGCCGCCGCGCTCAGCACGCGGTCCACCGACCACCCCAGCGCCAGCAAGAGTTCCTGTTGGCGAGTTGTTGGTACGTGTGTCGTGTCGTAGGAAGACCGGGGGGGGGGCATACGAGGACGGTGGAGGCTATCCCAGAGTAGCCCGCGTGCGGTTTGTTCTTGGGCCGCGACTCGAGCGGCGCGCGGGCGACCGGGCCAGCGAGTACCGCCATCAGGAACCCTAGCACGAGCTCGCCCTCCTCTCGTGCCAGCGGGGTCGTGGTCTTGGAGACGAAAGGCCGGGCCAGCTCGAGGGCGGCCTTGGCAAAGGACTCGGTGTCGGGCGCGAGCCGGTACTTTCGTTTGAGGTCATCGTCGGTGTCGCCGAACGCGTTGGTCACCTTGACCGCGGTCGTGGGCTCAGCCTCGTCCTACGTTTACGTGTCAACAACGTTGACAGCACAACTGAGAAGAGATAAGGTGAGCACTACTGACCTCTTCGTCCATCTCGTCGGAATCTTCTTCTTCATCATCATCGCCGCTGGCACGCTCGTCCTTGGGACGGAGCAGAGATGCGGCGAGAGAGAGCCCACTTCTCAGGAACCGCGGGCGCGAGCTCTCTGGAAGCCTTCGCAGCACTGCAGCGTAGAGTGAGAGAGAAGGAAGAAGAAAATATGTGTGAGTAATGGTCAGCTTCTGCCTCCAGTGCTCGTGTGTGCACCGGACGCACCTTGCGACAGGAGGTGAAGTAGGAGCACTTTGGTGGCCGTGGGCTGCGGCCGGCCCAGGGCCTCAGTGCACACGATCCACATCTCCCGCGGGTTGCACGTGGCCGCAATGTCGTTCACGATCTGTGCTGCCGCCCGCGTGGTTGATCAGAGAGTGAGCAAGCGCTCCAAGTCACGGCGCTACATGAATGCGCGAGAAGGAGTGGGAGGGCCGAACCTGGGTGCAGGCCGGCTGTGTTTCAGGATAGGGGAGGAAGCCGAGCAGGCCGTGAAAGATGTCGAAGAAGACACGACCCAACAGCGGCTGGGACACGATGTGCGTACATGTTAGCATCGGTGTAGTGGTGAAGTAGTAAAAGGGCACAGGAGTGAACGCACCTTGTCAGGCCGGAGTAGCGGCAGGAGGAGGTCGAACAGGCGCTCCCTCTGCTCTGCCGAGAGTGCAGCGGGAACGTCGAGTAGAGACACAAGGGCATCGACAACCTCTTGCTGCTGTTGCTCTCCTGCACCCTCTGCACCCACCTGAGCTGACAATGCGATCAGACCACTCATAGAGATGAGGGCGACAGACACTAGGCACCTCGTTCACGTGTGCAGCGGCCGCTGAGATGCTTGCCAGAAGCTCCTCGAAGTTCCTCTCTTCCATCTTCTTGATTTCGATTTAATCTTCATTTTCTTTTTGTTGCGCACTATTTTCGTTCATCTGAAAAATTTCGTGAAACTGAGCATTCCGCAAAAATCTGGGGAGTGCCACACACGGCATTTTCACTTCTGGAGAAATTTACAGCAGAGACAGACGCAGAAGATCCCCTGCTCGATCACGGCTGGTCTCGCGTGAGTCCATCTTCGTGGTTCGCCATTCGATCCTTCGTCGTCCTTCTATAAACGTTTCCTGCTCAACCCTTGTCCATCTACTCCATCACCGGGTTTCCTTCCTGCACAGTCCTCTTCTGGCCTCGGTGGAATCATCTCTGCTCTCAGTAGATCGATCAATCTTCACTCGCGTCCCTCAGACCAGGCTACCTGCAAACTCTCTCGACAAATCGAAGAAAGCAGAAGGAAACCGAGTTGCGTTCCGTCTTCATCTCGACGCATCATCCACAGATACATCACACCAACATCATGCAACCTTCTGGATCGTGGTGCGCTTCGCCTCATGACGACATGCCCCTATGGAAGACGATCAATCAGGACTATTGCGTGCTCAACGAGCTCTGCGATGTTCACTACCCTCGCCTCATGAGCAACATGCGACGTCAATCCGAAGCGTATGCCAAGCAACGTAGCGACAGCAACCAGATGGCACCCGAAGCGCCTGGCTCCAGGATCGCCGTTCTCGAGGCCTCCATCCAGGAATTGGCAGAGTTGAAATGCCAGCTCTCTTCGGTCGTCGAGAGAGTGCGCAACAACCTGCTCGCCTACGCCCTCTCCGAGGACTTCTCCGAGCACGAGCTGGCCAAGGTGCTGCAGCCCGTGGCCCTTCGCGCCTATGCCTACCACGTCGCTGATCTGCTGGGCAAGTCCAAACCCAAGGATCCCTACACCCCCTTCCACGCGATCATTCAAACGCTCGAGCAGGCTTCCAATACCGTACGTCTGCAACCCCCTTCTCTCGCTCTCATCCACAAACTACGCGCTTACGCCCCATTCTTGCATGTTTGCGGGCCACAGTACAAGATCGTCAAGTTGCTACACTACCCTACCATTACCAAGACGGCCTTCCTTCTGTACGAGAAGACCAAGGTGCGTTGTACCTCTTCCGCGACGTTGGCCGATAGAGCTCATCAGTGACCTGACGTGTTCCCTTCTTTTTCTTGCACACAGGGCAAGCCACAGAAGGATCTGTCGAAGGTGACCCTCCCCAACTGGCCAGGCATGTACTGTTGCTTCCAGAGTCTGCGCAAGATCAATGACTGGTACTGCCCGCTTACACGCTTAGGCCGCCGAACGCACTGCTTAATCTCTCTCTCTCTCACACACACATCACCGTTGCCCACAGCATCAAGCAAGAGGCCACTCGCTCCAACGGAGGACTGTGCGCCGAGGAGGCCAGCTTCCTGGAAACCAAGATGCAGATCATCAAGTGCTTCCTTTTCAACTCGCCCGAGGCCCACCAGTCCATGTACGTTCGTTCCCCCAATCCTCTCTCTCTCTCTCTTCATGCACCCCGGTTTGCTGTTCGAGCATGGACCTAATCCGGCTTGTCCTCTTACAGTCAGCCGAAGCAGGTCGAAGAGTTGGACTTTGACGTCACTCCGTTCCTGCACAAGCAAGAGTACGAACTCATGTTCGAGTTCCTGTCCGCCTCTGATTGTACGTTTGCACACCAGCTTTTCCTTCATGTCGTCGAAGCTTTTTTCTCACTCTTGGTCCGTGCGCCATGCATCTCCAGACGTCATGGACTCGTTCAAGAGGCTCGTCACCGACCACACGCCCTACACGATTCACAAGATCGACGGCGATGGCAACTGCTTCTTCCGGGCCGTTGTCCGGCACACGTATCCCAACATCACGCGCGCCTGGGAGGACGCGCTGAGCCTGGGTCTCAGGAAGCGACTCAACACGGTACAGTTGCGCGATCGTCATGAAATGCCGCTCTTCAGCCGAAGTCGGCCCCCTTGCTCACCACTCCACGTGTGCGTTCGGGTCTTTCACACAAACAACAACACCAACAGGGCTCCGAGAGGGAGATGCAGGCCCACGGCAAGGGCGCTGAATATCAGTTCCACGGCTTCGTGATCGAGAACGTGAACGATTCGCTCACCATGGCCAAGGCCGGCGTGTGGGCCGATCACATCCAGGTGCAAAAGCTGTCGCAGAAGCTCCAGCGACCGCTTGAGCTCTTCACCTTTGACGACGTGGCCCTCCGCATGGACAGACAGGGCAAGTACGTGCCGTTTCCTCTCTCTCGTTTCGCTTCGTTTCGTTTTCGTTCCGTTTCGTGTGGCTCACGTTCATGTCCTCACTTGTCAGGTTGCGTCCCGGCAAGGACTACATGATCGGCACCGAGTTCGGAGGGCCTCCCATCTCCTTGTACTACACTCCGTCGCCTGGCCACTACGAAGTCATCTCGCTGCCTCAGGTACACGCCACTACATGATGAAAATGGTGATGATGATGATTGTGAAAACTGACTGAGCTGTCCTCTCGTACAGCCGGCCGAGTTGCAGACTTCTGTGGAAGAGGACCTGCAGCAGATCGAAAGCATCGTGTCCAGCACTCCGCCTCCGCACCTCGAGCTGCCCGCACAGCTTCTCTGCAGCGTCTACTTCCGTCTCGAGGCCGAGGTCGGTCTCATTGAAGAGGTAAGATGGTTGCGCGAGTCCTCTGCTTCCTCAGCCGTCGGCCTTTCTTTAATGCTGACTCTGCTCCCTCCTACGCAGTGTGCACGCAGTGGGTGGCTTTCGGCTCGCGAGATCAAGCAGGCCATCGATGCCGAGCTCCGCGAAAGGGCCGGCGTCTTCTTTGCGCGCTTCTTCCGCTATCGTCAGATCATCCTGCACCTCGGCGTGCCCTACCTCCTCAAGTACCTGGACCAGAAGCCCGACTTCAACCTCCACGCGGAGGTGCTCTACCAGCTGCTCGAGCCCAAGCCCGACTCGATCGAGTCGCTGCTGACCAGGCTCTCGAGCCGCGTCACCCACGCCTGTCCCGCCGGCGTGCTCGCCACTGCCCAGCGCGTGAGTGCCGCTGCCCAGCAACATCAGCAGCCCACCACCATCGTGATCGGCTCACCGCCGGCGCCTCCCGCAGCGCCCGTCAAGGCCACCCCAACGCCGACCCCGGCCCTGCGCCCGACCACCGCAATCACCACCTCGCCGCTCCTCCTCGCGGCTTACAACACTCCCATGATGAACCCCTCAGCACAAGTCTACTGCACGCTGCCGCCCCCGCGCGAGGGTCCACTCCTGGCCTCTCCCCACACCTCGTACGTCCCCCCATCCTGTTTCACTGGCGTGTGTGCGTGTGCGGTGGCGTGTGTCGTGCGGTAGTGGACGTGGTGGAACTCACGCACGCAACTGTCCGGGTGATGTGAAACAACAACGCACACAGTGTGCAGCACTGGGTCGAGTGGTGCAGCGGCATCCCGTCGGACAAGCTGCAGCTGCGCGACAGCTACGTGACGGGCGGGTCGCTCAAGGCCCTGGCGGAAGCGCTGGCAGACACCAACTTCGACCACGTCATGCTGTACCGATGCCGCTTCGACGCCTCTGCCTGCCAAGTACTGGGCGAGGTACCTTCTTCATCATCTTCTTGACGTTGTTGTCGTTGTTTCTGATTGCTGATGTCGATTGCGGTGGTGGTGCATGTGAAGGTGAACGCCTGGCCCCTGTCATTGAAGAGGGTGGAGCTCCACAACTGCATGCTGGAGGACAGGCAGGTGGTGAGTCTCAACAACCGCGTCAAGCCGCTCGGCTGCACCGAGGTGCCGCGTATGCAGTAGAAGAAGACAATGGCCTGGCCGCGCCGACGTCAGCGCAGCGGCAACGGGAGAGACGAGGAGACGCAGCATCTGTAAAGAATGTACATAGGGCGGGGCCAGCGCCCTCTTCCGCCTTTACTCCAGACGCCGATCGACAGAGGAGATGAGACGACGCACGAGGAAGGAGATGATGGCCGAGAAGGAGAGATGCAGCGTCCGAGACTAGGCGATTCGAGATCGTATCTCTTGATAGAGAGCAAGGATCTGTTTTTTGTGCATTTGTGATTAAATTTTACTCAAATTGAAGCTAGTTGTGCCATCATGTATGAAGGCACGTGTACCTTGTGGAGATTCAAGTCAAGCTCGCGCAGCAGTCGCACATTTTCGTTCAATTTGGCGGGATCGCGGGATGTTTGGTTGTGCGAGATGTGGGCGATGAGGTCGCTGTTCCTTCGCTGCAACTGATCTACGATCATAGCCAGCTGACCGATGGGCAGCACCACCTTCCCTCCATCAACTTGTTGTTGCTGGCCTGCTTCCATCTTTATTTTCCATAAAGGTAAATCTTTTTCGGTTCAATATTAATTGATTGTTTAATTATTCGTGTACAAGAGATGGAGCAACAGGTTGAGGCCCAGGCGAGCTGCCAGGGGCTGCCTAGTGGTGGGACATCGGCGGCCGGCCCAAGAGAGGGCTGGGTCAACATCGGCGAGCAGACCTGGTCGGCTCTGCGGCATGAATGGAAGTACAAATCGCCCAATGATAAAAAGGGGGGCACGCCACAAGACAGCGAGAAGCCCAAAGAGAAGAAGCGCATCGATCCCGATGTAATCTATACCGACGTCACCTCACGAGGGCAGGTACGATCTTCACCCTCCACGATTGCATTTGTTCTCTCCCTCTCCGTGATGACCTATGCTCTTGGTGTCATGCTGCCAGTTGTCGCAACCAGTGCCGCTGAGCGATCTGGTGAACGTGCTTACGTGGGTGTGGGAAACCGACTCGAACTGGTAGCACCAACCCACCCTTTCCCTGCTGTCTCCTCATCTCTTTCACTTTGTAAACACCATGTACACACTACTCTTTCCTTGTCTGCCTTGGATCTCGAAAGATTAAGTTAACTCTACACCACACGCGTGCACTACCGGGGAGCGTGTGTGTCGTGCGCAGTATGAACATAATATCGTTTGTTTGAGTGTGTTGGGTCTATGTACAAAACATGCATGTTATCTTCCACCTCTTCATCTCCTTCCACCATCATCGCCGCGGACGTCTACTCTACAACATGTCAGCTCGACATTCTCTTCTTCCTCTTCTACACGATCTGTCGTGCGAAGCCGGGGCGAAGCGGGACGGCGGGCGAGGCCAGCGGCGTCGAGTCGTCGTCCGTCCAGTCGCCGCCCGAGTACTGCGACCAGCAGCCCTCGTCGTAGTACGACGTCGACATCTGATCGTAGTGATGATGGTGGTCCGCCCCATGAGCGTCGTCCAGGCGGCCGAACGAGCGGCTGCTCGAGCTCGATTCGTCGCTGCTGCTCTCGCTCGAGCTCAGGAGCTGGCGGAAGCTGTCGTCGCGCTGGATGCGATCGAGCCGCAGTCGCGGCAGGGTCGGACTCGACACGCTCAGGCGGGCCGCAGTGAGGGGCACCCCCGAGTTGGAGCGGTGCAGCGGCGGCTCGCCCGAGTCGTAGAGCTGCTGCTGCTGCGAGTCGGCCGCGGCGGATGCCGGGGAGTCCTCGGGCGGGAGGGCCGGGAGCGGCTTGGCGTAGTGCATGCGCCGGCGGCGCGACCCAGAGCCCGACGGCGCCACCGACGGCGATGGCGGCGCATTGCTTCGGCCGGCCGAGTTCGCTCGCTTTCGCACGTCCGGCTGTTCACAGAGACACACACCAGGCGCGAGTCAGCCATCGCCTCACACGCGCACGCACAGGACCGCACGCGCGGGAAAGGAGGGCGTACGAGGCCGCCGGTCGGATCGGCGTCGGTGGTGGTGATCCAGGGCGTGAGCTGGGCGATCAGCGGCGAGCCGGGCGCCGCCACCTTCTCGTCAGCGATCGACGGCGCGCGGTGCACGGCCGGGCTGGAGGGCACGCTCGCGCTGCCGCGCAGGCCGCCCGTCGCAGCGCTGTGGTCCCGGCGGGGCGAGGGCTGCGACGAGCAGGAGAGGTGGTACAGGACCTCGTCGTCGGCCACGGCGTGGATGGACCGGAGGTACTTGGCGGCCGCCTCGGAGCGCGGCAGGCGGTAGGGCGGGGCCTGGAATCCGAGGAATTCCTTCACTTGCTCCCATCGCGTGCGCAGCAGGTTGGCGTTCACCTTCACCTCGCCCGCGCCATCCCTTCCGTCGCTCTCCTGCACACGACACACGATCAGCCTTTAATTCCCGCCACACAACGCGACACACACACGACACGCGCGACAGGACACGCACCGTGGTGGAGAGGTATGGCGAGTTTTCGTCGAGGTAGGTGAGGTAGCGCAGGAAGAGGCCGACGTAGGGCAGCGTCGGGCGTCGGGCCATTCCGGTGGTGTGGTGGCTGGGCGAGGCGCCGTTGCCGGCCTGCATGATGCCGCTGCCGCTGCCGGCCTCGGGGAGCGGGCCGCAGCGTGGCGATGACGTGGCGAGGGGCGACGAGGGGACCTGGCCGCGGGGCGAGTGGGCCGGGCTGTGCAGGCCGGCGCGGGGCACGGGCGGGGTGTTGGCGGCGATGACGGAGCGCGGGCCGGAGGAGCTGAGGTTGGCCGAGTGGCGGCGGTGGTGGAGCACCGTGCGGTAGTTCTTGAAGTTGGACTGGGGCTCCATCAGCGACTCGAGCTCCTCCATCTTCTTCTTCGACCGCTCGCCCAACGCCTCCCACGTGTCCTGCTCGACCGCACACGCACACGCACACGCACGGCACGACACGCACACCAGTAATGTGAGGAATGCGGGCGCAGTCTAACATTCCATTGCATGGCGCATACCTTGAGTCGCTTGACCGACGAGTTGTTGAGGCCGGAGAGGATTTGCATGATGGCGTTGAAGTTGTTGCACTCGTAGCATCGGAAGGCGATCTTGATGAACTTCTTGATGTACTTGACCCGCACCTTGACGTCGTGCTTGGTGAGCACCTCGGTCGCCACCCAGTAGCCGATCTTGTTGAACCGCTCGATGAGTCGGGTCAGGTTAGGCGCCAGCTCGGCCTTGCGCTCCTTCTGCCAGGCCTGGCCCAGGAACTCGCGCGGCTCCACCCCGCAGTAGAGCTCGAACTCGTCCATCGTCAGCTCGCGCGCAATGTCCTCCGACTTGAGGTCCAGCAGCGACGTCGGCGCAGCCGCCGCCCCCGCCGGCGCCGCGGCTTGCGAGCCATCGAGGCCGCTCGCGTGGGAGCCCTTCTTGCCGATCAGGTCGAGCGACATGGCGCGCACGCGGTAGCGGATCTTCAGCATGCGCTTGTCCTCGAGCTCGCCGGAGCCGGTGCCCTCCCACTCCTCGCGCTCGGCTACGGCTGGCACCGAGGACGACGAGCCCAGGCGCGAAGGCGAAGGCGAGGCTGCTGACGATGATGATGACGGGGCGTCGTCGTCGGCGTCGGAGGAGGAGGAGCTGCGGGTGGAGGTCCAGGACGAGAAGGAGTGGAAGGGCCGCCGCCGGGTGCGCTTCTCGTCGGCGGTGGCCGGCTGGGATGGACCGGCAGCGGTCGTGGTGGCCGTGGTGGGAGTCATGATCGATGAATGGAAGAAGAGGAGCTTGAACCGGTTCACCACCGGCTTCTGTTCCCTCATCTCCAACATGTCCAACACCCCGCCCCTACATTCATTTGCGTTAAAGATGTATCAAACGAACAACTCGTCTCTTTGTCATCACGGGAGGCACGCACCTCATGATGTCGTCAAAGTCCTTGACGTAGAGGCCGGCCCACAGTTGCATGAAGTCGAGCAGCCTGCAGAACAATCACAGCACATCAACAACATCAGCAACCGGGGCAGTTGCCAACGCGACGCGGAGAGAAGGTGCGAAGAGGTGGGTGTGCAGGTAGTGAGGCGGGAATTTTGGGGGGGGGGGCGCACCGGTCGCGGCTGCTAAGGGGGAGGGTGGAGTCGACGGACCAGGTCTGGTCGTAGAGGCTGAGCCACAGGGCGCACATGTCCCTCTTCTCCGCCCAGAAGAGCGGATAGCTCAGCAAGAGCGCCTCTCGTCGCTCTACGTTTTGTGTAGAGCCGCGGAAGGAAAGATGGGAGGTGAGCGAACTCTTGACTCGTTTCCACAGAAGATGAACAGCACCCACGGATGATGAAGAAGCAAAGGGCTACAAGTGGAGGGATAAAAAAGGGGGGGGGGGCGCACCGAGGTCGTCGCAGAACATGACTTCGGTGGCGAGGCGTTCAAAGGCCAGGCGTCGGGCCTTCTCCTTGGAGGTGGCGACATCATACATTCGTGCGCTCTTAGAATGTATCGATGCGAGTAGCAGGCTCAGGGCCGGTGGGTAGTCGGCAAAGGCCGTAGATGAGTGCGAAGATGGAAGTCGGTAGGGGCGAGGAGGCAGAGGTGGCGAAGAAGGCGGTGATGGAGGGGGAACGAGGGGAAGCTGCTTGAGCTTGCGTACGCCGACGTGAGAAGATGAACAACTCAGCTGCCTCTGGAGCTGGATGGGTGTTACGCGTCTATGGATGCTGCTTCCTCCTTTACCGAGGGCCGAATGGGGCTTCGGTGGTGGCTGCGGGAGCTGCCTGATGAAGGAGGAAGTGGCAGGCGGAGATGAGGTTGGTGGGGGCGATGGCCCCGTGCGACGATGTCGCCCCGCCACTGGACTGCCATCGTCTTGCCCAGAGCTACCGGGCATCAACAACTCCTCCGTAACTCCTGAGCCCGACTGGCGCCGCTGGTCGTCGCTGTGGATTCCATGGACGAGACCCTCTTGGCCAATGGCCTCGACGCTGGCGGGTACAACATGATGTGTCATCCTATGTCCCACCGCCGCTGCTGCTCGTGCACGGCGAGAGGATCCTTGAAGTAGTCTTCGTTCTACTCAGCTTGAAACTTCGCCTATGGAGCCAGTGCGACCAGACCTGAGGATATTTGTTGGTTCACGTATGAGCCATGCGGTGGCTGGCCTCGCGCCCCTTGCCTCGAACGGAGGAGTGTGGTGAGTACCTGGTCTTGGTGGGGTCTTGTTCTTCTTTCTTCTCCGAGTTGAGGCAAGAGCGATGGTTGGAAGCAAATGGCATGCAGGACTCCTGGTGAAGTGGTCATGTGGCCTGGGGTGTTGTGTGTTAGCTCACAAGCTGCGCAGCCGGGTGCAAGGGAGTCACCTGTAAGTAGACCAGGGCGGAACCGATCTCGGTGGTGATCGTTGTTGGTTGTTGGGCGATAGGTGGTGCACCACCGAAACCAGATGCACAACACGGAAGACCGTGTTTGGGCCACTGGGGTGCCTTCGGCCCAAGACACCATGTTGCGGCCGGAGCAGAAACCTCCATGAAAGGGGGAGTTGTAGCTAAGCGCAACAAACCGATTCAGATGAAAAGTGGTGCTGCTTGGCTTTTAGCTATGGAGGACACCGTCGTCTTCATCAGGCAGGTCATCACGGCCACTTGCGTAGTGAGAGCGATCTGGAGCCAGGGAACGTTGCATGGCAATCATGAATTTCTCTTTACTTTCTTGAGAGAAATGGAACCGGAAAATGCGTGCGACACAAAAATGACGTGCACGCTTGCTGGCAGCACTACAGAGCAAAGGCAGAGGAAGAGAGGATGAGCATCAAGGTGGCCAAAAGTCTGCACGACTCTGCAGGTTCGGGTGATCTAGATGCGGTCAAGGTATCGTGTGCCCTCCGATGTTGCAAACAGCAAAGACTGTAGTTGCGTATAATCAACTCCTCTTGCTTGTCACAGAGATTCGTGGAGGTGGATGGAGTGAACGTGAACAAGAAGGATGAAGATGAGCGCACGCCCCTCCACTGGTACATGCACTGTACTGTCCCCCGCTACGTGCCACATGCACTCACACCCAACCCTCTTTGGCGACTACAGGGCGGCAGGTGCAGGGCACACGCCCGTGGGTGAGTACACCTGCTCGACGCAGTGGCGCTTGGGTGAAGGTGCGATCGCTCACACGACTTCGTGCTGTGCGCGTGCGTGCGTGGTGCAGTGGAGTATCTGGTGAGCAAGGGCGCGAAGGTGGACACGGTGGACGACAGCGGCTGGAGTCCCCTTCTCTCCGCAGCCTCGGCGGGAAAGACCGACACCGTGTCTTTCGTGCGTGACGTCCCGCAATCCCATCATGTCCCTCAAGCCCTATACCATCGCTGAGGGCTTGATCTCGCCTGAGCTCATCCTCCTCACTCTTGTGGTGCCTCTGCAGCTGCTCAAGCACGGCGCTGACGTGAACCAAGAAAACGAAAACGAGCGGTAAGGACCCCGCAAGCCGCGTGTCACACAAGTGCCGACTGACGATCGCCGGTGTGCTTTGTGCTTTGTGTGTGACGAGCAGGTCGGCGTTGCACTATGCGTGTAGCAAGGGCCACCGCGACATTGCACAACTGCTCGTGGCGCAGGGCGCCGAGGTCAACAAGCTGGACGAGCACAGCTACTCGCCCCTCCACAGGGCGGCTGCCAAGGGCGATGTGCAGATCATGGCGCTGCTCGTCGATCGTGGGGCCAGGCTCAACCAGCAAAACAAGATCAAGGAGACGCCGGTACCCCCCTTTCGATCTCACCTTCTTGTCCTCTTGTGGCCACCACTTCCCGCTCGCTCACCTTCTTCTTCTTCTTCTTCACCAGCTGCACATTGCCACGCAAGAGGGCCACTCAGCGGCGGTTCGCTTTCTGGTGGAGCGAGGCGCGCGCACGGACATCATCAACGAGGAGGAGAAGACGCCCGTGCAGCTCGCCACCGAAGAGGAGATCCTCGACTACCTCCAGGCCCTCAAGGACCACTCCGCTTCCTCGTGATGATGAAGAAGATCATGATCATGGTGATGATGATCTATAGTGGTGAATGAAATGCCCGGACGGAATCTCTTCTTCTTCGAGCGAAGAATCGAAGAATCCCAAACAAATGCGTCCACGCGTGGTAGGCAGTAGATGAAGCTGCACTCGGTATGCATGCAATCAACGTCTGGCCTGTCAGTCCATAGATACTCGAGACAGATGATGCGGAACTCTGAGTCGTCTCGGTCGGTCCGGTTGGTCGTGTGGCACAGACTTGAGCTGCCCGCGGCTCGTCCATGTCGGGGAAGATCTCCAGACATACGACACACATCCCTATTGCTGCTCTCGTGCACCAGCCCCAATGAATGTACTGTCTTTATTTTGTTGGTGTTGGTGGTGGTGTTGTTGTGGCGTTTCTTGTGGGTTGCGGTACGTTGAGCTCGCGGAGGGAGGACTTGCACTTGCGGCTCTTGCGTGACAGCACGGCGTGGTTCCACTTGCCCTGCTGGGTCGGATCGGCCCACATGGCGGTCACCTGGTCGTCGGTGAGGAACGTGTTCCAAGCGTAGGCCGGCCCGATGAACCGCTTCTCGAGCGGTGCCATCACGCACCAGTGCGGCTGCAGGGCGCACACAGTCGACGCGAAGACCTCGCCGTAGGCCACCACGTCGAGCAGCGTGATGCTGTACAGGTAGCGCAGCAGCGCGGTCGAGTGGCGCTCGACGTACTCCTTCTTGAAGACGGCTTTGTCGTAGGGCGGCCGCCACGTGCTTTGCTGCCAGTGAGGCCAATTTGGCGCCAGAGGGAAATAGTGGGCGATGTAGTCTGAGTTGACGCGATCAGGATCGACACAGCCCGACACCGCACGACACCGCATGCTCAGACACACACACGGGCACACACGCGCACACAAGATGTGGGGCAAACCTGCGGTGTTGGTATTGTGCTCATCTAGGAATGTTGACACGTCACCGAAATAAATGGCGTCGTGCTCGATTGTCCAAATGTACATCTCACTCTCCCTGATTACGTGCAAAGAAACATGTAGTCGTGCACTTCACACTGAAAACATTCACCCATTAACACTGAAATTGGGGGTGTGGTACCTGTTTGGCGGGAGTGGTGGGGCGTGCCAGAGGTCAGGGCGGCAGGTGATGGACCAGAGGAACAGCGACGCGTCGTGGAACCAGAAGTTGGGCGTCGCGTCCTTCTGGATGTAGGCCGCGGTCGGGAGCAGCGCCTTGACGTCGCTGGCGTTGTACAGGAACAGGCCCAGCCTGGGGTACTCCCGCTGCAGGTCGTAGTACGCCTCGAGGACCTCATTGTCGGCCGTTGGTGGCGCCTCAGTGCCGGTGTCATAGAGGAGCCACAGGTCGTAGTGGGGCGAGGCGCTCAGCTCCCGCGCGTACTTGGCGTACGACGCCCGCAGTCCCTACAGCGCCATCACCAACAAAAAAATGTTTGTGTCGTTTGCACGGAGATACGGAGATATGGGAGGGATGCTGGTAGGGGGCGTACGGGGGTGAGGGGGCCGCAGGTGCGGATGACGAGCGCCTGGCGAAGGGTCGAATCCAACTTGCACGGCGAGGTGCGGGCGTGGTCGAGCGGATGGGCGGCTGCGGCGTGCACCACCCGCATTTGGCCCGCGGCGGTGGCAGCGTGTGGGTCTAGTTCGGAGATAAAGCCGCAGGTGCGGTCGCGCACGAAGAAAAAATCGGAGAAGATAAAAAAGACGCCCAGCGCGAGCCCCACGCCCAGCGCCAACCATTTGGCCTGGAACCTTTGTTGTGTTGCGTACATCTTTGTTGTTTGTTTCGTGAGGAAGAGTGAAATAACGCGTGTTTAATTTGCATTCATGAAATAGTGGATATTTGCCGACAACTTGGAACCACTTGCTGGCCGGATCGGCCGGCACACCGGTGGTCGGTGAGAACGCGTCCAAGCCGGCCCGATGACCGCTGCTGGATCACGCCCTCTGTTGCCACACCCTCGAGAGGAGAGCCACCTTGGCCCAATGCCGAAATTTCGCGGCCATGCGCGGTCCAATGGGCGGACTCGATCCCGCGCTGTCTCCGCGAAAGGGCAATCGCGAGGTGAAAAATACACAAATTTTGGACCTAACGGCGTGTTGGATCGTCGACTGACCTTGCCGTCCTCGCACCTCAGACCCACTGCGCCGTAACTTCTAAATCGCCCTCTCGCATCAGGTAATGTGATACTGCTGTGGCAGTGCGTTAGAACAATAAGATCTGATCATCTTTGGCTGATGTTGAACAACACGATCGTCGCTCCGTTTTGTTTTGTTGCCGATCAATTTCAGACACAATGAGCGAAGTGAAGCCCCTCACCGTGTACTCGCCCGCCCCCACCAGCAAGAAGAGGTACAAGGCCTGAGATGATTTTGCCAAGCGTGTAGAGCCATTAATTTTGTAACATTTTAATCTGTTTCATTCAGGCACCCGGTCAAGTCCATCATCAGCGGTGGTCTGGTGCGTGTCCTTTCTCTTGTCCACGGCTCTAGCTGTACCGGGTGAATCTAACGGCGGTTTGGTACTGGTAGGGCGGTGCCATCGAGATCTGTATTACCATGCCCACAGAGTACATCAAGACGCAGATGCAGCTGTACCCGGCCAAGTACGGCAAGGAGGGCGTCATGTACTGCGTGCGTGACACCGTCAAGAACCATGGCGTACTCGGTACCTCTTCCTTCAGCTTTCTCCTTCCAACTACGCTGCCCTTTATTTATTGTTTGTTTTTTTATTGAAAAAATCGAATTAAAAAGGTATATTAGGCCCAAGAATGGCGTAATAGCCTTGCGGCGTGACGACAACCACGTCAGCTGACGTTTGTGGTGGTTGTTTGCGCGTGTGTCAGGCCTCTGGCGAGGTCTGGGTCCGCTGGTGGTGTTTGCCGTGCCGAAGAACGCCGTCCGTTTCTTCTTTGTGGAGATGATCCGAAACCAGCTGCGGTACGAAATGCTCAAGCTTCTTACCACTACACCAGTCTTCTCTAGCGCGATGTCACGTGCAATGCTTTACTCGTTTCGCTCATCTTCTCGCGTTGCGATCATCGCCGGTTCCAATGTGTGTGGTCAACAGAAACGATAAGGGCGCGATTTCCCTCAGCGGTAACTTCTTTGCTGGTCTGTGCGGTGGTTTGATGGAGGCCGTGCTCGTCGTCACTCCCCAGGTAACGCATGCGCAACTCTCTCTCTCTCTCTCTCTCCTCATGTCTGTGAGCCAACCAAATGCAGCAGCATCTGTAGCGAATCACCGCGATCACTACTCATCTGCCCTCTCTTTGCCCTTGTTAACAGGAAACCATGAAAGTGCGACTCATTCACGATCGCCTGTCGCCCAACCCCAGATTCCATGGTGCGTTTTAGGCCCACCTTGCAATCCAGCAGGCTGCTCATCGACAACTCTCTCTATTTTTCCATCGCCGCAGGCACCTTCCATGGCATCACCACCCTCCTCAAGGAGCAGGGCATCAGCGGCTGCTACAAGGTAAGCCCTCGCCACCACCATGGGCGCCAGTGCGACTTGTCTTGTGGCCTCCTCCCGGCGCACTCACCACAGGTGGTATTTATTCGGTTTGTAGGGCTTGACGGCGACGATGATCAAGCAGGGCAGCAACCAGGCCCTGAGGTTCACCACCTTCTACCAGCTCAAGACGTGGATGCTGGGCGACCCCGCCCTCGACTTTGATCGCAGCACCATCAAGGCCGTGTTCCAGACAATATTTGCTGGTGCGACGGCTGGCGCCGTGAGCGTGTTCGGTAACACGCCGATCGACGTGATCAAGACCAAGATGCAGGGGCTCGAGGCCAGCAAGTACCGCAACACCTGGGACTGCGTCCAGCAGACCTGGAAGGCGGACGGCCTCAAGGGCTTCTACAAGGGCACCGTGCCCCGGCTCGGCCGCGTGTGCGCCGACGTCGCCATCACCATGTTCCTCTTCGACTACATCACCATGGCCCTCGACGCCGTCTGGAAGACCGAATAAGGCCCCGCGGGCCGCGCTCCTCCTTCCTTTTCACACCATCGTCTTATCTTCCTGTTTGGTCCTCGTGTCAATACATCAACCCCTCTAACTCCACCCCACGTTGGCTGTGGTTGGTCGTTTTATTTTTTCCTCAATTTGTTTGGCCTGAAAGCGAAAAAATCGGTTCTCTCCGTGTTCAGGCAACCGCAACGATTCATCGACATCGCACGGCAATCTTTTCCACGAGTTCAAGCCGACATTGAAAGGAGCGCCATCATCTGGAACGAGACAGAATTGAAGGTGGGTCCCTGAGAGATCACTTGACGCAGAATGGTGGCTTGGGCGGATGTAGCGAAGTGGACGGCGAAGTACTGGGCCTACTGCACGGCATCGTTCCTGTGCTTGGTCATTGTGGCCCTCATGGCGGGTGCTTGCGGGTCGGTGTGGTACCGGGAGAAGACATCTGGCCAAGTCTACGACATGGCGACATCAAGACGCGGCAATTTCTTCTCCTACGAGATTCGATACTACATGTTCCATCTGGAATACGACCAGCAAGTTCAGGGTCCCGATGCTAGCCTTGTTGTGCCCCTGAAGACGGTTACTTGCGACTACACCGACACCAACTGCCCTGCCATTAGGGGTATTCCCTCCCCCCCCAAGCCCCCGATTAATCTCTTTTTGACTAATTTAATGTACATATTTATAGACCCGTTCAATTCGAACGAGTTCCAAGGCATGTACGCAGCCATCTTCTCGTTTGCTCTGGCCACTATCGTCACCGCTGTCGGTACTCTTTCGCCACCTTGCGGTCTTTGCTTTTCCACTCCTTAGCACCAGTTCTCACCACTTCGTTCTCCAGTATTGGGCATTCTCCTTTTGGTCATGAACTGGCGTGCCGAGGCCATGGGCGGTACGGAGCTCTTGAACTGGGCTGCGGCACGATTGAATGCTCACCCTTGCGGCGTGTGGTGCGGTGGCGTGCTGAAGGTCTTGGCTCCAAGATCCTGACGGTGGTGGCTATCGTCATCTCGGTGATGCTGCTCGCCTTCGTGATCATCACCTGGGCGCTCATCTGGCGCCACCCCAAGTCGACCAGACAGGCGGTTGGCCTCGACGACAACTACTGCGACCGGTGGGAGATCTCGGTTCGTTTAACCTTCTTTCTTTTTTTCCTCTCAACGCTCTGTCACCACATTTAGACCGCTGCTTGACTCACCCCCGCTGCCCTTCTTCTCTGTGAACAGGAGCGGTACAAGGGCGGCGTGTACTGCGTGTGGGAGGACGAGTGGAACTGGAGTGATTCCATCATTAGGAACCTCACTTTCCGTACCGACGTTCAAGCTACGGGTACGCTCCACGAACCTTCTTCTTCATCATCACCTTCGCCTCTCCGTTTGTATCGCACAGTACCCATCTAAACGACTTCGACTTTCGGTCTGTGCCGGTCACACACAGGAGTGAAGCAGCTGTGGGGACCAACCACCGGCTGGATTTTGACGACCATCTCCTTTGGCTTCACCTCGTGGGTCATCCTTCTCGTCCTCGGCTGGCGGCCCGCCTTCTTCAAGAACTGAGCGATGATGTGTGCCCGCACCACATCGCATCGGACGTTCTTCTCTTTTGTCTTTTTATTATTATTTATTTTTGTTAGCTCCCTCTCCCTGGAGGCTGCTGAGCTTCTTCACAAGCCTGGCGCTGTACCATCTCCCCCTTCTTCAAGCCAAACACACACATTATTAGCTGCTGCGCTGTGCACCTCCAAGCTTGGACATGAGGCATCTTGCTCCACTTCAATGAACTGCAGCTACGTAAGCCTCACGACCGGAAGAAGGAGCACGCGGTAACTGCGGACCTCTTTGTTTGGATTTACGAACTACAGTAAAACACTCAAACGGCCACCTCGTTGCCGGCGCGGGAGTTAGGCACTCTTTTACGCTCGAGACTCGTCATCATCTTGGAGGCGTGCGCGGATCAGCTCTTCCTTCCCTTCCACTTTCAGGAGATTTAAATTGGACGGTTGGAGGGCTAGAGGAAACAGATCATCGCTCCTCTACGAGATTTTGAATGGGAAAAGAAGGAAAGAAAAAGGCGAAGGGAGGAGCCTCTGCGCCGAAGGAGGAGGCCAACACCACAGCGGCGGACGCGTATGCGAACGTGGAGGGAGGAGGTTCATTACCCCCCCCCCGCTTTTTCCTCTTTGATGTGCGTGACATTTGTGTGACTGAATTGCAGAAAAGAGATCGCACAAGATGGAAGGTAAACCATTCAAGCTGCCCGCTGGTATTGCCATCCTCCTTTTAACCGGCCGCTACTCGGAGGGGGGCATGAATGTAGAGAAAGGAGTTGTTGATTGGGCGGTCCGTTGCGTGTAGGTGGCACCACAGATGGAGACGACGGAGGCCTCCCATCGCCTGATCGTGTGCGCATTACTCTCGATCTCGACCAAGGAAAGCTGGATGGCCTCCCGCTCGCTGGTACTTCCTCTCTCCCTCCCCCACCACTACTCTCTTCTCGCTCCCCTTGCTGGGCGGTTTTCTTCTTCTTCTTCGCTGCTCTTGCCTTCTACTCGCGACCCACGCATTGCACCCACACACGACGCCGTCTCCTCTCCCCGCTAGATATACTCGCGAAGCTGTTCGTGAATGACGCGGGCAAGGGCGGAAGCGGCGCGGCCAGCACGAACAAGGTCCGGGCCAAGTACATGGCGCAGGCCCGGAAGGGGCGCAAGATGGGCGAGCCCATTCCTCTGGACATCGAGATCACGGACCTCGACAGGTCGCAGCATCTCTCGCTCCCGCAGCAGCAGACGCTCGAACACCACAGGCACGCGCTCCCCACCCCACTCCACCCCACTCCACTCCTCGTTGACGTTGGTATCATCTGAGGCGATTGAGCTCACTGTCGGCGTTGGCGCGTGCGCGACATAACAGGAAGAAGGCGAACGCACGATATTCGTGGGCGAGGAAACGCGCCTCGTCCATTTCGGCGATTCTCGATATCCAAAAAATCACCATCACCCTCGAGGCACGCGCTCTATCCGCCCCCCCCCCTTTTTCACACCACACTGCACCGCACGCACGCATAAAGTTACTCGCTAACGCATGCGCGCGCGTGTGTGTGTGTGTGTGTGTGTGTGTGTGTCTGTGCGTGTGCGTGTGCGCGTGGGTGTCGTTTTGGGTCCCTGCAGGTGAAAATAAGCGAGGATGTGGATGAAACGGAAGATGAGGGCAGGGAGGCGGACGCGAAGAGGGGAGACACGTCCGGGGAATTCGCGAACCACACGGCGGAAAACGACCGGAAGAAGGCGGCGGCCAAGGAGAAGAAGAAGGGCGGCTCCGGCAAGAAGAAGCGAAAGGACAGCAAGGACGGCGGGGAGGGAGAGGGCGGGGACACGAGCAAGCTGTCGTCATCGGATCACCGGCTGACCAAGACCATCTCCGGGCGCCGACTTCTCCTCAACGGCAGCAAGTCCACCAAGCCCCAACACGGCGACGACTCGCCCACCGGTACAAACACAACGCGTGTCGTGTGTGTGTCATGTTGTGTGTGTGTCGTGTTGTGCGTCGTGTTCTGCTGACGTTGTGGGGGGGGATCAGGATTCCGCAAAACATTTTCGCTGGTCGATGTACGGTCCTTCTTCAAAAGAGACGCGAAGGAAGATAAAGAAGACAAGGTCGTGCCCAAGCGGGACGACCCAGGCGATGGGAAGAAGAAAAAGAAGGACAAGAAGGTTCCTTCATTCACTCGCGCGGTCACACCCCGAATTACGCTGACGCTTTCTCGTTTTCCTTTCTTCTTCGTTCTTTCTCTGTTTCTCTTCTCTCTCTCTCTCTCTCGTGTGTGGTGCTTGGCTCCTCCTTTGCAGGCTGACTCCGCGCCCAGCACCCTGTCCGAGGAAATCGCCAGTACGACTTGCACCGCCCTCTTAGTGTGTGTTGTGCGTTGTGCGTTGTGTGTCTCGTGCTGCGGTCTGTGTGTGTGGTGTGTGGTGTGTGGTGGGTGGTGTGTGGTGTGTGGTGTGTGGTGTGTGTGTGGAGCGGCCGTGCTGACGGTCGCGCAGCGCTACCCCACACAGACGCGAAACCCAAACGTCCCGAGCTGAAGAGGAATTCGGGCGGACTGCGGCACATTCACTCCGACGACGACTTCACCAGCAAGCTGGCCGCTGTCGCCCCCGCCACGACGCCCGCCCCCAAGCCCTCGCCCTCGCCCTTGTCCAAGGGGTCTGCCACGTCAGCATCGACGCCGGTGAGCTTCGACGATATTCCCATCCCGCTGCTGGACGAGCCATGGCTGCTGCCGGAGCTCACCGACGCGGAGCGGGCCGGCGCCTCGGCTCGGCAGAACGAGGCGGATGAGGCCGAGGCGGTGGATGAGGCCACCACCATTCCCGCGTCGCTCTTGCGGATGAGCGAGCAGCACCCGCACCACCCGATCTACTTCACCAAGTCGGGCGTCACCCACACCTGGCAGTATACCACCTTTGCGTACGTCATCGACACGGTGTTGTCCGCGTCATCGCCATTCATTGTTGACTCACACACCGTGGTGGCGCACCGTGCAGGGATGTGTCGGCTCTCGTGCGTCGAGTGAGCAGCGGTCTAATTGCCCTCGGCATGCCGCCGCGAGCGCGCACCGCTATTTTGTCGTCCAACCGCTTGGTAAGGCCCCTTACCCTCCCCCCGGGCCTCCTCATTCCTTGCATTGTGCGCTGACCGGTCAATTTTGTCGGCGCAGGAATGGGTCGCGTTTTGTCTGGGCAGCATGAGCGCGGGTGCCGTCCCGGCCGCCCTCCCCACGACATCGACCACGCCGGAGACCACCCGCATGCTGGCCGTCGCTCAGGTACACACATATCTGTCCATCACATTCATATATTCCAATAATATATAAGTATGACATTCCTCCTCCTCACCACTGTGTTTCTCTCTCTCAGGCAAATGTGGTGCTGGTGGAGAAGCGAGAGCAGTGCGATGCGCTGCTCTCCCAGAGGCAGCTCTTCCCTCGCCTGAGACACGTTGTACTTTTAGACGGCTCGGCCTCCGGTTATCCCGCGGACCTGGTCCTTACATGGAGACAAGTGCGTTCCCCCCCCCCAAACCGTCATGCGCCGTCGGCCCGCACGCGCTGTGCGTTGTGTGCGTTGTGTTGTGTCTCGAGTGTGCTTTTGGCTGACAACGCGAATGTGCGTTCCTCTCCCCACAAACAGTTGTTGTCGAAGGGAACCTACGGTAATGTAAATAACGCCGAGTTCCAGAACCGGCTCCAGAACCTTCAACCCACCGACCTCGCCACTCTAGCCTTCACCTCTGGTATGACGCATCGCCTCGCTCACATCGCACCTCACCTTGACCTGTAGTATATTTGTGCTAACGCCGCACACGACACACACCACACGTACAACCGCACACGCACACACACGATGATAGGCACCACTGGACAGGCCAAGTGTGTGATGCTGTCGCATCGGAATCTGATGTTTAGCGCGTGTGCGATCGGTCGTCTGCTGGCCATCAAGGAGTGCGACTCGCTCATGTCCTTCCTGCCGTTTGCCCACGTCGCCGAGCAGCTGCTCGCCGTCTACGTGCCCGTCGTGGCGCGCTGCCGCATCTACTTTGCCGAGAGCACGGCCAAGCTCCACCGCAACATGCGCGAGATTCAGCCCACGCTCGTCTTCGCCCCGCCCGAGCTCTGGCGGAAGATCTACCTCGCCATTCAGGTTCTCGCTTCTACGCAGCACTCGCTCACTCAGCCGGCGCCGCACACGCAGCACATTCTTGACATTCATTCTCATCGCACATTCTTGACATTCATTCTCGACACGTGAAACAGGGCAAGGTACCGGCGTCGGCGGCCCAGACGATGAACGCGCCGGCGCTCTCGGCGTTGTGGACGGCCATGGGCTTTGCGCGCGTGCGGTATGCCGCCTGCGCCTACGGCTACCTGCCCGAGGTACACACAAACCCGACCCTCCCCGGCGTACCGTTTGAATTCAGTGAACTGAACAGCTGAACAAACAACTCTTTCTTTCTTTCTTTGTTCTTCCAGGAGGTGAGCGAATCCCTGCAGAAGCTGCAATTGACGATCCACGAGGCCTACGGACAGACCGAAACGTGCGGTCTTACGGCCGTCAACAGCTCCGGTACCCCCCACCTTTTGCCACCACGGCGTCGCGCTTCGCGTCGTGATAGTTTCTTACGTCCGTCCCCCTCTTTGTTGCGCTGTCGTTGTCGTTTTATAGGGAACAGCCAGGCGGGCACTGTCGGTAAGGTCCTGCCCAACACCCAGGCCAAGATCGACGCAGACGGTCAGATCCTGGTCAAGGGCCACAACGTCTTCATGGGCTATCTCTCCGTACATTTCCCTCATCATCGGCGATCACGCACACGCACCACCGCACACGCACGACCGCACACACCGGTTTAACCGTTGGTTGGCTGGATCACCAGGAGGAGGCTGGGCCGGTCGACGGTTGGTGGGCGACGGGCGATCACGGTTCGATGGACGCCGGCGGGTTCGTGCGCCTGGTCGGCCGCCGCGTGGAGCTGATCACCTCGCCCGGCGACAAGGTGCTGCACCCGGAGAAGATCGAGAACGCGCTCAAGATGCTGCCGGCCATCAACAACGTCATCGTCTTCGGCCACCAGAAGCCCTACCTCACCGCCGTCATCTCGCTCGACCCCTACTTCATGGTACATCGTGTCGCCTTCCAACGACACGACACGACACGACCAACGACACGACACGACACACTTTACTGACGGGTGGCGTGCTGTGGACTACGTACGTGCAGGCCCGCGTGAGCAAGGAGAAGGGCGTGGCGGCCAAGGCCCTGTACAAAGCGCCCTACATCAACGAGATCACGGTGGCGATCCAGAAGCACGTCGTCGCCGTCAACAAGCGCCTCCCGCGCGGCTTCCCCACCCTCAAGCGCTTCACCGTCCTCCGCAAGCAGTTCTCGCTCGAGCGGGGTACCGCCGCCGCGCTTGTCGCACGCCCTCGCGCACGCGGTGACCCTGACGTCGTTGTGTGTCGTGTGTGCGTGTGCTGCGTGTGCGGTGTGTTTGTTTCTGCCAGACGAGTTGACTGCCGGCATGCAGATCCGACGCTTCGTGGTCGAGAAGAACTACGAGAAGGAAATTGACAAGATGTACGCCGACGCGATGGGCGGCAGCTCGGCCCAGCGACCGCTGGCCAGCTCGGTCGGGGCACAGCAGCCATCGTCGTCGTCAACCTCATCACCACGGTCGGGCGCCGAGGCTCAGTCGCCGCCCAAGGCCGACAGCGCAGAGGAGAAGGAGGCGCAGGCTGAAGTCGCCCAGGCCGCCGCCGCCTCCGAGGAGGTGACGACGGCGGCTTCGGCTGCGCCGCCCGGCGTTGAGGTAGAGGCGGCCGAGGCCACGGCCACAGAGCCCTCGCCGAAGCGAGGAACGGCGCTGCTCTACGACATGCTCAAGCAGGGCGCCGCCTCCCACATGGGCCGCACCGTGTCCCCGCGCGACCCGGCCGCTGACGTCACCCCCGAGCCGGCGCACCCCGAGCCGGAGCCGGAGCCGGAGCTGCAGCAGGTGGTGGCCGCCGGCGTTGGAGCGCAGGGCGAGTCGACTGCCGAGCCCGTCGTGGTGTCGACACTGACGTCGGTCGAGGAGGCCACGCCGTCGACGGAGGTGGCGACGCCCGCCGAGAACGCAAAGAGCGAAGAAGAATCGTCGCCGCGGAAAGAGGAGAGCGCAGGGGGGAGCGCGGCCGCCGCAACGGCGCCTTCGCCGCGAGCATCGGAGGCGTCAGCCTCGAGGTCGACGTCCCCAAGGCCCCCGGCCGAGCCCTCTCCACGCGCCGCTGGCGACGGCGAGGCTTCCGTCAGCCCGGTCCCGCTCGACGAGCTCACGACCGAACCCGAACCGCCAGTCGCGCCGACCAAGGCAGCAGCGCCGGCGGCGGCGGACCTCTACGATGTGCGTGGTGAGGTGGTGGAGGCCAGTGACGCCGAGCGCGGCTACACCACCACCAACACCGAGTGCTGCAGCTCCGCGCCGGAGACCGACGACACGACCACGGAGACTGAGACGGAGGAGACCACCGAGAGCGAGCGGGAGGACGCGAACAACAAAAAGAAGAAGACGAAGCGGCGGCCGCACGAAGAGGACGACGACTCTGCCGTCGACGGCGACGTCGAGCACGAAGAGGAGGACGAGCCTCCGTCGACCGGCGTCAGCGAAGACGAGGCCGCGCGCTCTCATCAGCTCCGTCGGCCCGCCGCCGCCACCGCCGCCGGCTCGAGGCGGAGCGTCAGCCCTCAGCCGCAGCAGCAGCAGGACGAGGCCGAGCGGGAGGAGAAGGAGCGGCGGGAGCGGGAGCATGAGGAGAAGAAGGTGCAGCTGGGCCTGATGTGGGAGAAGGAGAAGGAGCTGAGCGAGACCGAGGAGCGCAAGCTCGAGGAGGAGCGGCGCGCGCAGGCCCGGCGGGAGCTGATCGAGCGCAAGGTGGACATGAAGTCGACCATGGCCATGTTCCAGATGCTGGCCAAGACTTCGACCGCGCCCGTGCCCCACAACAAGCCCGCCACGACCAAGTCCTCCACCAAGCGCGGCACGTCGTCATCGTCGTTGATGACATCGTCGAGCGACGGCGGCTCCAAGTCGGATCGTTCGTCGCCGTCGGCGTCAGAGTCTGAGTCCTGGTCGACGTCACAGCCATGAACACACACACCCAACACATCACGACACCTGATAGATACATTGCCACCTTGACATACTGAACTTACAACATTACACCATATTTTTTTAACCACCAACATCACCAGCATCGTCCAGCTCCCACCAGTGGTGTACGCCGTGATGAACTGTAGAAGATGAAGCTGTGAAGCCTCTTGGCTGGAGGGAGAGGAGCAACACACACAGGCGTAGAGTGGGCACGTGCGTACAAAGAGTAGAAGACCAAACGAAAACCAGAGTTTGTTTGCGCAAATCGAACGACGTAGCGCTACAAATCGATCGCAAGGCAAGGCGGGCTCGCGAGGGTGCACAGAGTAGCGTGAACGGCGAGCATAGAGGAGCAACGCTGATTAGAATCGACGATTAGCAACGACAGAGCAGAGAAGAGATCTTCCGCGCAAAGACATAGATGAAGGGCATCCAAGATTCCCTCACCAGGAAGCAATGGATCGGATTCGGAGTGGCCTTCCTCTATGGCACGTCCAGCTTGATGAAGCCACGCGTGAGGCTTGTCTTCATCCCACCTGCCCCATAATTCTTGAATTGATTTGATTTGATTTTGACCCCTCCCGGTGCAACAAACAACAGGTTTGATCTCGACTTCGATCACCTTCTTCAACAAGGCGACGCTATCGGTCTATGACTTCCCCTACTCCAACACGCTGACCCTGGGCCAAATGCTCTTCGCCACCGTGGCCCTCTACTTCATGAAGTCTACCAACATCATCACCTACAAGGACTTCTCCTTCTCCACCGCCAAGGCCGTACGTCAAACACATCAGCCTTCTTCTTCTCCTCCTCCTTCTTCTTCACCTGGCTCAACCTCGTCACGCGTCATTGTGTTGTGTTCAGGTGCTGCCGCTGGCCTTCTTCTTCTTTGGCATGGTGGTGACCGGCCTCGCGGCCCTCCAGTTCATCAATGTGCCCATGTTCAGGTGTGAAAGCTATCTCGCTTGCTCCAGCCACAACGTGCACACAACTCACGTGTGGTGTGTGTTGTGTGTGTGTCGCACGCCAGCGCCCTGCGGCGATTTACGACACTGATCGTGATTGTGGGAGAGGCGGTCTATCTGAAGAAGTTCACTCCACGTGACGAGGCCTGGTCCGTCTACGCCATGGTCATCGGTCCGCATATCCCGGCAATCGCACACGCACGACCGCACACGCGCCACCGCACACGCAGCTGACACTTTCTTATGTGCGCGGCGTAGGTGCGGTGATCGCCGGCCTGGGCGATCTGTCGTTCAACGCGATCGGATACTTCCTGTGCGCGCTCAACTGTGTCGTGACGGCGCTCTACCTGGTCTTCATCGCCAAGGTCAAGAACGAGACCAACCTCGATACCTTTGGCCTCATGTTCTACAACAACGTGCTCTCCATCCCCTTCGTCGTCCTTGTCGTGCTCGGGCTCGAGTACGAGGACGTGATCAACTACCCGTACTGGACCGACCCCGGCTTCCTCGTACCGCCACCTCCAGTCACACACACACACACACACCACCGCACACGCACACTTGGTGCTGACGTGTGTGTGGTGTTCGTTGGGTGTGCAGCTGTGCTTCATCATGTCGTCGGTGCAGGCGTTCCTGCTGAACTACTTCATCTTCCTGTGCTCGCTCATCAACTCGCCGTTGACGACGAGCGTGACGGGCCAGATCAAGAACATCTTCACCACCGGCATCGGCCTGTTCATCTTCGGCGACGTGCAGATTTCCTTCCTCCTGTCCGTCGGCCTCCTCCTCGCCACCATCGCCTCCGTGTGGTACCACCTCCTCTACTACTCCCTCTGCTACGCCAACCTCGTTCTCACCGCACACGCACCACCGCACACACCACCGCACACGCACTAATGTACACGCACACACGCAATGAAGGTACACGCACATCAAGTACGTGCAGCAGACCAAGCCCAAGCCAGCCGTGCCGTTGGACTCGACCGCCGTGGCCACGTCGAAGGAGGAGTACCAGCTCACCCTCCCCTCCGCTAAGAAAGAGTACCCACTCTCCCCCCCAGCTGGTTCGCATCCAGCCCCTGTCAGCCGAGGCGGTTCGTCACTAACGGCTCATCATGGCGCACAGGGACGACTGAGTGAGAGAGAGGGTCCTGTGTGGAGGGGGTAAGGTGTATGACTTGAGGGATGGTGGATCAATACTGTGTGAACAGAACTATATTTACATTGAGCTTGTCTGGTTTGGCTTGATGACCACCAAGTGATTCTCAGGCTGGTGTTCTTGTTGGACAAGAAGACCAACACCAGAGCAGCCACCAATCACCAACGCCCAGTAAAACTTGGTGTCGTGGCGCCCACAGCTGTGGGCGCAAACAAGAAAGAACCCAAGCCCAACAACAACATGGCCTGTAGTGTTTGTGGTGGCAGTTGGCGCAGGCTCACCGGTCGTCAAGCGGGCAGCGTGCCCCTCGGTCGCAGCTCCCACAGGTTCTTCTTCGTTCATTCACAGATTTCATTCATCTAATTGCTAATCGCGCAGCGTCTCGCCCTATGCTAGCCTGACCTCTGCTCCCCACTCACTAGTGTGGTGGCCCTCGAGGGCTACAAGGTGGCGGTGTTCGGAGGCGAGCACGAACCGCGGCACCCGATCGACAACGCTGTGCACGTCCTCGACGTGGCCTCAGCTCACTGGGTCCGTCTTGAGACCTCGCCCGACCACCCCGCCCCCTCAGCCAGGTACCCACCCCCATGCCCTTCTCCCCCCCCCTGCGCCCAACCGCCCATGGAAATGATGTACTACTCCGGCCCAACCTTGTTCCAATGCTGACTTTGTGGTGGCGATTGCGCTACTTTGCGCCCAGAGTGGGCCAAGCTGCGGCATCGGTTGGCAATCGGTTCTACATGTTCGGCGGGCGCACGGGCGTGGACCAGGAGGAGACGAGCCTGGGTACCTTTCTACATACACACATACATACACATATCATACGTACACATACACACATATCATACGTACATACATACAATATTAATAAATAGCACCACCTTTCGGCTGGGCCTGCGCTTGGACTTGATGATGGTTGATGCTAACGTCATGGGGTGGTGTATGGGGCCTGACGCGCGTAGGTGACATGTGGGAGTTTGATGCGGCCACCACGCGCTGGAGGCAGATCGAGGCCGAGGGAGCTCCGGCCGCGCGCAGCTACCACGTGATGGCCTCGCACGCCCAGCGCGTCTACGTGTTCGGCGGCTGCGCTGCCAGCGGCCGGTATGACTACCCCCTCCCCCCTTACCCCCACACAACCCCATCAAACCTCAATCACCTCCCAGAGCTGATCTCTCTGGCCCACTTAAGAGAAAGATTAGATTGGTGGGAGGTGTGGTGTGGACATCATCATGGACATCATCATCATCGTCAGCATCATCGTTGTCATAACGAGGAGGAAGATGAAGAAGACGATGACAACAACAGCGACTGTGGGGGGATATGAGGCACGAGGAGGAAGAGGAAAGAGGATCTCACGGTGGCTGAGGGTTGGCTGGGCGGCGAAAACAGGCAGAACGATCTGTTCGCATTCGACACCGAGAAGCAGGCGTGGGAGAAGCTGGAGCACACCGGCACCGCCTCGGAACAGCCCTCAGTGCGAGGCGGCCCCGCCCTCTTCGCCACGGCCGACAAGGTCTACGTCTTCGGTACACATCAAAACACCGCCTAGACCACGTCATCGCGCAATCGCAATTCTAACCCGCATGTGTGTGTGCGTGCGTGCGTGCGTGTGCGTGTGCGTGCGTGTGCGTGTGCGTGTGCGGTGTGTGTGCGGTCGTAGGCGGCTTCAGCGGAAAGGAGATGGACGACTTCTGGGCCTACGATCTGAACGGACGCAAGTGGGAGGCCGTGCAGGCCCAGGGCGACCGCCCCACCGCGCGCAGCGTCGCCGCCTGCGCGGCGCTCGGTCACCACCTCTTCCTCTTCGGCGGCGAAGTCGATCCCTGTACGCTCTCCCCTCGCCCACTCGCCCCACAAACCTTTTCGCCGCCAGCAGCGATTCACATTCAAATCACCGAACGAACGAACAACGCCCGGCCAGCGGCGCAAGGGCACGCGGGAGCGGGCGACTACAGCAACGAGACCTTCATCTTCGACACCAACACGCTCACCTGGATCAGGAAGGACGGCGCAAGCGAAGAGATGTACAGCTCCCCCACCACATCGACATGCCAACATTCGTGTGACCGTGTGCCGCGTGTGTCGTATGTGCCGTGTGCACCACAACAATAGCCCCACGCCGCGAGGCTGGCTGGCAGGTGCGGGGCTGCAGGACGAGCAGTTCCTCCTGTTTGGCGGCTTCGACGGCAAGGAGCGCACGGGCGACCTCTTCCTCTACTCGAGTACCGCGCAACAGTGAGCCGCGACCGAGCCAGGCCGCCTGATGTGTCGTGTGGTGGTCACATGCTCTGCAAGAATCCCAACAACCCAACACCACACGTACATCATCACGAATCCCACCAACAAGGTTTGGTTGTGCGGAAGATTGGGGCTATTGGTGGTGGTTGCGCACCCACAAGGGCGAGGAGGATTGTTGGTTGGTGGCTACTGTTCCAATTGAGCCCCATGGTGGTGGACAACAACATCCGCGGAGGCCGCGGGTGTCAGCTGGCCAATCAGCACTCTAGCAGGCCGGAGTTGTCACCCTGCCGTTCATGTTCATCGGGCAAGCACACATTGGTCGGTCAGTGCGAACAAGGGTGATGGTGAATGGCAGATGTCGTTGTGGTTGCGCACACAAAGAGGTTTTATCTGTGCGGAATCTCAATTGATGTACATGACACATGGTCGGAGTGTGGGCGGAAACTCCTCGACAATGTGCAACCAAACATTTGAAGAGCATGCTAATACACACTCTGCCGCATTACACGAATTTTTATCAACATGTTGGCCAAAGAATTTCAGATAGCATTTCGTTGATGGACGACACGGTCACCATGCCGGGTTGGTGCGCTTTAGGATAACATTATGTTGTTCGTTTACGGGCGGACTGTTTTATGCTGCCTGGCATCATCACTACACACAAACATGTTTCACCGTTGATAGTGGCGCTTTAGCGACGTGGTCTGTCGTGTTCTCCGGTGATTCTCGAATACAGCGCGCCCGAACACAGCATTCTGTTTGTTTTTCTCTTCCACCCCACAACAACACCACCACACCTCAACGGCCACTCTCCGCTGCCGTTGCCGCAGCGAACCAGCACTCCATCCATCCAGCGCTCACCTGACGAGGAGCGGCGCAAACATCAACCTCCTCTGCCGCTACTCGCGGTTCTCGTTAATCTTCTCTCGAGCAGCAGAGAGAAGAAGGAATAGAAAGGAAGAGACCAAAAAACAAGTGGTACATCCACTCCCGCCTCCATCTTTTTGTTTTTTCTCTTTCCTTCAATCAACATAGCGGCCATAGGCCTCTACGTCAGGCCAAAGGGAAGTGGTATCTGGGAAGATCTTTTTCTTTTTTCAACGAAATGGAGGGCACACGCTGTATCGCCGGCGCCACTTCACGTCATAACACATTCGCACTGCGCCACACATACCCGCCTCGCGCGCCCTCTCTACGCGGTTGGGAAATTAAAGTCTCTTAGCTTCTTCCCCCTCCTTTCACCCGCCTGCCGCAGTGAGCGAGTGCGGGATCCGCCAGACCAGACAAGACACGGGCCACAACAAGGACTCGGCAACAAGTGACACAACATTTTTTGTTTCACAGCCATAGCAAGCCAGACACACTCCACCCAGGTACTCCCTACATATCTTCATGTTTTCTTTCTCTATGCGCAGTCTGCGTGTGTGGAACATGATGGTTGTGTGGGTGACCATACACACCACACGTATGGTGGCACCTGGTGGTCAACAAAATTTATCACCCAATATGTTCATGTTGTGTTGATGTTGTGCTATTGTTGAACGCAAGAGTGTGTCCTTTTGGCGACTCGCTGTGCGGCAATTGGTCCGCGACTGGATTTTCCTCCAATTGTCTTGAGGCCGGAGAGCTCTTCGTTGCACGTGTGGCCCGAAACTCCCCCAACCACACAGAAACGCTCCTATTTGCTGCATTTTTTGGTTGGTCGAAGAGTTTATGGAACCGAAGCTGGTTCCTCTTGCGGGGCACGTGCGCCAACATCTTGTTGTGTTGCCTGCAGAGTGGCGAGGGGGCGGGCGCTCCCACTTCCTTGCTGGGCCTCTTCCTCCTCTTCCGGCCTCGGTGGTGGTGCAGAGTTAGTGCCCACCACTGCCACCCAAAAAACTCCAACAACCTTTTCACGCCCCACTCACCTCACTTCTCGCTCTTCGCTCTTCTCTTCGTTCTTTGGGTGCAGCTCGGGATGAACGGGACGGCACAGCTCGGACCCAAGGAAAAGGGCCTCGAGGCGCGCCTGGCCGGAGATGACACGCTGGGCCAGCCGCCACCTCCGGGCGTGGGCGTGACCTCGGAAGCCGCCGCCGCGGCGTACACACAAGCGCAGCAGGCGCAGGCGCTGCTCGTGCAGGCGATGGAGAGGGAGCGCCAGGCGATCGAGCGCGAGCGAGCGGCGATCCAGCGGGAGCGGGAATCGATGGACTCGGAGAGGAAGCGGATGGCTCTGGCGGCGTCGTCAGTGCCCACCACGCCGCCCGACCAGTGGGGCCGGCTCGAAGACGCCGAAAAGAGCGAAGGCGAAGCGATCGCGAAAGAACGAAGGATGCTGGCCGAGGAGCGGGAGGCCGTCGAGCGGCTCAAGAAGGCGCACAAGCGCGAGAAGGAGGCGCTCGACCGACAGCAGCGGGAGCAGGAGCAGCATCGACAGCAGATGGACGAGGACCGGGTCAAGATCGAACGCGAGGTGCAAATGATGGCCAACCTGGCCGCCGTCGAGACGCAGGTGCTCAAGGAGGCGCTCGAGCGGATGAAGCTCGAGCGCGGCGCGATGGAAAAGGAGCGCGAGCAGCTCTGGAGCCAAGTCCAGCAGCTGACCGCCGCGCAGGAGCAGCTCGCCGTGGAGCGCGACGATCTGATGGCCGAGAACGAGCGGCTGGAGAAGAGCCGCGACGCGCTGCTGGGCATCCAGCGCGACCGGGGCGCCGAGGGCCTGCAGGCCGAGCGCGACCGGGTCGAGGCCGAGCGACGCGAGCGGGAGCAGACCGAGCTCCAGCTGGCCCGCGACACGGTCGAGCGCGACAAGCAGGAGATCGAGAAGATCCGGGTAGAGATCGAGAACATCATGAAGGCCTGGGAGATCGAGCGCGACCGGCAGGCCAAGGAGCGACTGCAGATCGACGCCGAGAAGGAGGAGCTGGCGGCCGTGCGGGCCGAGGCCGAGCGCCAGTGGCGCCAAATGACCGCAGGAATGCCTGGAATGCCTGCGGGCATACCGCGGCTGGCCAGCATTCTGGCGCAGCAGTCCGCGGCCGCCGCCTCGGCCGCCGGCGTGAGCCCCATCGCAGCGATGCCGGTCCTCCCTTCCTTCGCGGCCATGACCATGAACGCCAACGGCGGCCTCTCGCTCGCGCCGGCTACGTCCGCCGCTGGATTTCTCGTAGACGACAAGCAGCCGCAGCCGTTCACGCCGGTGCACCAGCCGCGCGGCGGCTCGTCGTCGCTCACCACGTCGCCCGTATCGACGCCCCCGCAGCCATCATCGGTACCGGCCACGTCGTCGTCGACCGGCGCCAAGCGGAAGCGCAAGCGGGGCGACAGCCTCAACCTGAGCGCGGGCAACTCGACCTCCACCCACCAGGAGAGCGCGTCGGAGGCCGACTTCAAGAAGCGGCGCAAGGTGCGGCCGTGGGAGGAGCGCTTCGAGGAGCTCCTCCAGTTCAAGGAGAAGCACGGGCACTTCTCCGTGCCGGCCGGCGGCGATTACGCCAGCCTGCGCATCTGGGTCAACAACCAGAAGGCCCTTCACACCAAGGGTACGCTACGACGCGTTCTTCATCGCCAGCTACTGGTGGCTAACACACACACACGACACACACGACACACACCACACACACCACAAAAATGCAGGGCAATTGGCGGCGGATCGTTTTGAGAAGCTCAACGTCATCGGCTTCCCGTGGTGGAACCCCAAGGGCAATCGCTCGGGTAATGACATACCCTCGTCAGCACCTCCATGACATTGCTTTCCACCACTATTACTCTCTCTTTCTCTTTCTCTTTCTCTCTCCACCATATTCTGTATTCTATCCTACTACTACTGCTGTAGCTTCATGTGGTTCCCGCAACACGCATATTCGACTTTCATCGTCTTCTTCTCCCTCCATTGTTGCTCACAAACTCTTCGCTATTTCGTCGTTTTTTTTGCATGCAGGGAAGGGCAAAAAGAACGAAGACGGCGACGAATCGACGACGATGGTCGATGTGAAGAAGGAGGAGAGCGCGCAGCCGTCCGTCGGCGGCGGCGGCGGCCAGGCGCACGAGGAGGACAAGGCCCAGCGGCGCAAGGAGCTCGAGGCGTTCTTCGGCTGCTCGCTCGAGCCCTACCCCGCCCTGGTCCACAAGTTCGCGGCCAAGAACGCGGAGCGCGCGATCGACAACGCCATCGTGTGGCTCACCATGCCCCCACAAAAAGACCAACAACAAGGCGGCGAAAAGAGCGAAAGCGACGCGAATAAGAAGAGCGAAAGCGAAGCGGAGAGCCTAAAGCCTAAGAGCGAAGAGACGAAAGCGATGGCCGAGCGGAGGGAGAAGGTGGCCCTGCTCCGGCGCATCGAGGGCATCGTGGGCCTCGGCGACGACCCCCTGCGGGAGCTGATGGAGAAGGGCGGCTTCCGGGTCTTCTCCTCCGACGTGAGCCTGCGGCGGGAGGACCTCGACTGGCTCATCCACCACTACGACGAGATCAAGAGCGCCTTCCTCCTCTCCACCTTCTCCAAGAAGGTACTACTCGCCACCACCTAATGCCACGTCATCTGCCCACTCGTCTGGAATGTGGTCTCATGTGTGTGGAATGTGTGTGGCAGGTGAACAAGGGGGACTGGAATCAGAAGCTGCTGATGAACGAGGTGGAGAAGATCTACGCGTCCTTCCTGGGCTTCGACCTGCAGCACCGCAACCTGCGCACCAAGTTCCTGTCGACGCTGGGCAAGGCCGTGAGCGAGTGGAGCTACTACCTCCCGCGCGACCACTTCACCCTCTGGTCCCACGCTGTGTGCCTGCGGGCCAAGCACCTCAGCCTCCAGCAGCTGAGCGGCGGCGAAGGCGGCGCCAGCCTCGGCCTCGGCGAGGCCCAGCTCCTCCAGTTTGACCGCGACCGATTTCTGGTCGACCGGCGGCCGAGCCTGGGCGACGTCGACAGCGGCCGCAGCGACGGGCCAAACCCGCTCGTACGGCTCCTCAACCTTCCCTACCTGGTCGACATGGACCACGGCAGCCCGACCACCTCCACCTCCACCTTCACCACCTCGACCGAGCCGACCGCGTCGGCCCGTCGGCCCAGCGTGGACGCCGACCCGGCCCAGTCCACGTCCTCGCGGGCCTCGTCGCCCCCGTCGCTCTCCTCCTCTTCGTCGTCGTCGCTCAACAACTCGACCGACGAGGGGGTGAGCTCGCTGCTGAACAGCTTCAACCTGCCCAACTTCCCGTCCTACGTCCACAAGAAGCCGTTCCAGCGGCGGCGCGGGTCGTCGAGCGTGCCCGGTGCGTCGCTCGCCGCCCTCGCCTACCAGCACATGCAGCAGACCCAGCAGCCGCAGCCGCCGCACGTGTCGGAGGTGATCATCGAAGAGGTCAGCAGTGATGGCGACGACGAGCACGAAATGGTAGAGTCGAGCACCACCACCACGACTCGTACGACGTCGCCGGGGCGAGCGCACCCGCACCAGCAGGCCACGGTCGAGGAGATCGAGGAGGAGGACGACGATGACGATGATGACGTGGCGCCGCCTCACATTGTGCGCCCGATTGCCCAGGAGGAGATGGACCTGGAGGGAATCGACGGCGAGAGCGGGGGCGAAGAGGAGGAGAGCGGCGGGCCGTCGGCCGGCCGCGAAGGGGAGCTGATGATCGACCTCAACGACGACGGCGATGGCGAAGAAGACCACCACACGACATGCCCGCCACCGCCACGAGAGTGAACAACTTTCTCTCTTCTTTCTCTCTCTCTCTCTCCTGTACATTGGCCAACCAACAATCTGTGATCCTCGCTCGCCTTTCACGCGCAAACGACGCTGGGCGACCAATGGCACTTATCGTTTTATTTAGTACTCCATTTTATTGCGCTTTTGTTATCTGCACCACGCAACACACCCCAAGAAAGATGAAGGCTGCGGTGCTCCTCTTCTTCTGCGCTTTGACTTTGGCCGTCTCGCTTGGCGCTGCGGCGCCGTTGCTGCCGCTCCCCGGAGCTGCGCCGACTCACTTCGACCTGCGCCAGGCCCACCCCCAGTGCATCCCGCCCGTTCGCGAAGCCGGCTCCTGGTACCCCTTCATCTATTTATTTATTTATTTATTGTTTTTTGTCCATCTAACTGGCGACTACACTTTCTTTCAAGTGATGACGCCGGTCTGATTGAGGGTCTCTACGACATGAGCGTCGCGAGCTGCATTGCTGTACGCGCTCCCCCCCGGGGGGGGGGCTGTCGCTTTCTTTCTTTGGGTCCTGTCGCTTTTCGTTTTTTCTGACGCCGTCGGTGCCCGCACGCAGACGGGCAAGCCCTTGGACTTGTCGAGCGCCTACGTCGACGCGTGCTGCACGTCGTGCGGCAGCTGCGGCGGCGCGAGCATGTCCAACATCTTCGGCTGGCTCAAGAACAACGGCTCCGTCAACGCCACCTGCCTGCCGAGGGGGTGACGCTCCCCTCCACACACTGTTCAACTCTTCTCTCCTGGACCAACCACTGACTCTCGGATGTCGTGTGTGTCGTGTGTGTCGTGCAAAAACAAAGTCCGATCAAGAGCTGCCCGGCCAAGTGTGTTGACGGCAGCCCGGTCAAGCCCATCCGTGCCCAGTTCCTATCTGTGAAGGAGGTCGCCGCCATCCAGCACACCATCTCCACCGTACGCGACACCGCCCGGCATACAAAATCAAGCCAAATTGAGTGCCCTTCCGACTGAACCCGGTTGCCTTGTGCATTCCAGGTGGGTCCCGTGCTGGCCTACATCAACGCCATCCCGCTCGAGACCTACATGGGCGGTAAGTTGACGGCGATCTGCGCCAGCGCTGCGCTCTTCTCTTCTCTTCTCTTCTCTTCTCTTCTCTTCTCTTTTCCTTTTGCTCACGACCTGTTGTGCAGGCATTCTGAAGTGCTCCGGTGTCAAGCCCTCGCTCGACCACGTGGTGTCGATCATCGGCTGGGGCATCGAGAGCAGCGTCCCCTACTGGATCTGCACCAACAGGTAAGCCATGCGCTCGCCTCGAGTTGTCGTTGGGTGTGTGTCGTGTGTCGTGTGTCGTGTGTCGTGTGTCGTGTGTTGTGTGTCGTGTGGTGTCGTGCGCTGACCACCATGCGAATCCTGCTGCAGCTGGGGTCCGGATTGGGGCGAGGAAGGCTACTTCCGTATCGAGAGGGGCGTCGACGCGGTACGTACTCTGCCCATCGCCATATGTCGCGCACGCACATGCACGGTGACTCACGTACGCTTCCGGTTTTGGTGCGGTGCAGTGCGGCATCGAGATCATCAACTTCGCGGTTCAGCTGCTCTAAGGAGGGCCATCCAATGCACAACGGCCGGAACGGATCGACACTTGAACGTTTCTTTTTCAACCATTTCTTTGAGTTGTGCACGAGTGATGCGAGCGGGTGCGTGTGTCTACATCAATGCGTAATTCACAAATATGGGGTGCAGTTGGGTGAGTTGGTGGGACGACAGCTCGGCGTAGCGGTTGCGGTGCAGTTGGAAGAAGAGTTGCCAGAGGAGGGGACGGTGAAGGCGTTGTTGATCAAGGTGACGGCGCCGTTCAAGGCCAGGGCGCGCCCGTCGAGCGAGGCGGCGTCGTTGGCCGAGACCGAGGCGTAGGCCAGCAACGACCCGACGAACGCGGTGTCGTGGTCCAGCGTGGCCGAGCTGCCCACCTGCCAGAAGACGTTGCTGCTGCGGGCTCCGCGGGTGAGAATGACCGAAGCCAGCGGGTCGGTGATGAGCGACGACCCCACCTGGAAGACCCAGGCGTCGCTGGGGCTCAGGCCAAAGTCGGTGTGCCCTCGAGGGTGAGCGCTACGTTGCTCAGCGCGGCAGAGCTGGCGAAGCGGTAGACGCCGGGGGCGAGCACGAGGCCGCCGAGGTTGGTGTCGGTGAGCTCGACGTTGCAGGGAAGGCCGGCCAGCAGGTTGTAGGCGTCGAGGAGGTCGAGCTGGGCCCGCTGCGCGTAGGTGTCGCCGGCGTGGAGGGCGCCCGTGAAGACGCCGGGCGGGTTGAACCCGGTCACCTGATCGCCGGCGTAGACGCCGATGTCGCCGGTGACGACGGTCAGGCCGACGTTGGTAGCTGGCGGAGCGGCCCAGGATGGAGGAGGCGCTGCCGCCCTCACCGTCGGTGGTGTTGGTGGTGTCCCGGGTAAAGTTGGCTCCTGCATTGCTGACATCACTGCCGCGGCTTCGGTGAGAGACGAGCGACCAGTGAGCATCATCATCATCATCATCCCCACCACCAGAAGAAGAGGGTGAAGCCAAGGGTTACCTTCATCTTTTGTGTTTGTTTTATTAGTGGTGTGTGCGTGTCTGGCAGTGCCAAGCGCTGTTAATAGATTGATAGATGATGTGTATCCATCGGTGCTCTCTGAGAGTGCACACCGCAGCCTCACAGCAGCGCGCTATTGTGCCCTTCCGGCGAAGCCTAAAAAAATCCAAAACGAAAATAAGGAAAAATACACGCCACGTCAGCACCACAAATTATGGATTTTTTATTCATAATAAAAGAAACGTGGAAATCAAAATGCAAGCGAGTGGCAGCACGCCGACCCGAGGGGGAGGGCTGTCTTCCAGCACACAAACCACGCCCGTGCGAGGGGGAGGGGGAGGAGGAACGGCTCTCGGTAGTCCCATGCTGCAGTCCGGATCAGGCACATTTACGCTACATCGACGGAATAACGATGAGCGGAGGGCAGGATCAGCTTCGAGGCTGCCCCTCAAAGAGAAATTCGTCGATATATACGAAGCATTTTTCCAGGTGAGATTGCCCTCTCGCTACTCGATTCTACAAAAATCTCGAGTTCATCTTTCCACGATGTATCTTTTGTAGTGCGCCCAACATGCTCACGCGCTTGCGTCGCCAGGGACAAAACCCATCGCGCGATAATCCACACTTCTGGGAAGAGCTGCTCCTGTTGAAGGTGAACGCCGTCTTCCTCGAGACCTGCGTGAAGGACACCACAGAAGATCAGCTGCTCGTGCTCAAGGTACGTCTCTAAGACGCCCGCTCCCGTCCATCGACCCTGCCCGCCAACGCTCATCTTTCTTCTTGTTGTTCTTCTTCTACGCACCAGGCCAATGTCTCCCTCATATTCGAGAACTGTGTGCGCATGCTGCACGATGGCACGAAGATCAGAGTCCTCCATGCTCTTCAGGTAAACACCTCACTCCTCATCATAGAGCTCGCTCCGTTCGGTCTCTCTTCAATCGGCTGCCGCTGTGGTGGTGCAGCCTGGTCATGACGACGCTTGGTCCTTACCACTCTCTGGTGACAGACGCTTCAAATCCTGCTTCGCGGCCTCTTCGAGAAAAAGTTCACAAACTTCGGGTTCGACATCATCAACCTGCTGACCGGTGTGGACAAGGCCGACGAGATCTTTGGGGTATATACCAACGTCATCGCTGCACGCGCACTGCCGCACGTTTCACGCCGGAGGCGCTGATGACGAATTGGGTTCACACGTGTTTGCAGGACTTGATCCAGACCGTGTGCGAGCTGATGGCCGAGGAGAACACACACCAGGCGCTGCGCACGCTGGCGCTCAATCTGCTGCTGTCGATCGCCACCGCAGCCACCAACATCCACCAGAACACGCTCATCGAGTACTTCATGATCAACTACGAGACCGTGTTCGACTCCCTGGTCCAGCTCCTCGTCAGTGAGCGCATGGGCTACTACTCCTTCAACGCCGTCTTCCTTCTCGTCACCCTCGTCAACTACCGGTACCGTACCGTGTCTTTCATCCACCACCGCACGTCGTAGTACGTACGTGGACTTAACTTCGCCCCATTCGCGAACTATAGAAAGTATGAATCAAAGAATCCCTACATGCGATTACTCGGTGAGCTGAAAGACAAGAAGGCATTCGAGGTACGCACACAGGGCTCATCGAGGTTGTAACGTGCTTTTTATTTAATCGCGCCTGCAGGCGTTCGACGACGTCATTGCGTCGGTATGCGAGGAATGCAACGCGCACTACGCCTCGGCGATGGGCGTACGAGCACCCGGCTGGCTGGGCTACATCGCCGACTTCCTCGCCACCAAGCCCGCCAACGGCGCCTACAGCGGCAGTCCCAACTCCACAGGCGCCGTGCTGCTGGCCTTCTACGAGCTCGTCTACCTCAACCGACAGGCCTTTGTGGGCAGCCTGCTCGCCAATGCCGGTACGTCGCTGGCTCGCTGCTCTCTGTCGTCTCGTAGCCGCTCATTATTCTTACATTTATTAGTACTTATTATTGGCATTTTAAAATGGCTAAAAGCGTTAAAAAAACCACACCGAAAATCACAGCCAAACAGAGCGCAGCAAAGGGAGAAAAGAAAGATACGCCAGCGATTGCGACGGCGGCGGGCGCGAAGCCTCCGGCCGAGGACGTCCCCTCGCTTCCTCTCACGCTGAAGCAGTTCATCATCTTCTGTTCCTACATATTCCAAGACATGAAGGTCCGCGTCGTGGTGTGTGCCAACAAGTGTTGTTGTCGTCTGACAGTGTTTTTTATATATGTTTCCAGGACTTGCGATCGATGTACTACGCGAAACTGTCGCTGATCACGCTCTGCTGTCTCTTTGAGGACGACACGGTGAACGAGATGTTCCACAGCGATCAGCTCCTGTGCGTCATCCCCTACTATCAGGTATAGAACAACCTCCTCCTTTCTCGCTTTACATTCCGCGCGCATTCCACGTGCTCGTGCACCTCGCCTTCGTTAACGCCGCACGATATCGCGCAATGCCATGCAATGCAACAGCAGAAGAAGGCCACGCCAGAGTCGCTCAAGGAGCGACCGGTGCTGGCCACCATTTTGGACGTGCTCCTGCTCTTCATGCGCCAAAACCTCAAGAAGAAGCTGCCCAGCGATCTGTACTGGTGCGTGCCCACAACCCTTGCTCATCTCCCGTGATTCATCACTCACCACCGCCACCGCACGACACGCACGACACGACACGACACGTACTACAGTAAATGTTTGGAAACGATCCGACGGATCCTGTGCTACGAGAAGAAGAAAGAGGTACATCATCTACTCGAAGCCACACACTTTTCTCCAACTTTGTAAATTGTTAATCCTCGACTCTATGCGCAGTTGCGGTTCAACTACCGGTGGAAGGAGCTGTGGGCCACCATGTTCCAGCTCATGCGGTTCATCTCCACGCCCGAGTACTTCGAAAAGCCCGAAACGCTCGTCCTGGCAGCTGAGGTATTTTATAATTCAATCATTTTTTGCACAATTCAGTTATTATATTTCATTTATTTATTTATTGTTTTTATTGACGGCGGGTTGTGGTCTGGTGCAGATCACGACTGTATTTAATTTGTTCATCACCTACGGAGACCTCTTCCTGCCCCAACCCTCGGACTACGACGACCTCTACTACGAACTCATTCGAGACGCCAAGGCCATCGAAACCTTCTACTACTACGGTTCGTCGTCGCACACCACCGCACACTCACCACCGCACACACCGCCGCACGCACGCGGCGTTGGTGCTAATACCTCGTCTTTCTGGTTTGCAGTGGATCGGTACGACCGCGCGGGCACGGCGCAGAATCTGGAGAACATGAACACTATCATTCGCCACTTCACCTCCAAAATCGATCAGTGGGAGGCCGCCAACGCTCAGAACTTCATCTCGACACCCGCTCAGGTGACGTCTCTCCACTCTCGCTGTGCCATGCATCTGCGTGTCGTGTCGTTGGTCGTGTCGCGTCGCGTCGTGTGCGTGCGTGCGTGCGCGCGTGCGGTGGTTTGCACTCTGTTGTAACTGGAGTTCTCGTTCACTGCAGGTGATGGAATTGATCCGTACCAACTACGAGACCCTGAAGCTCACCCTGCAAGACGACCTTGATTCCTACGACGCCTACCTCGAGAACCCGCGCGAGGTAGAATTCTGTCCTTAGACCACCACCACCACTCGGCACACGCAACACACAACACATGCCACGCACACACACACACACACACACACACACACACACGACACGGCACACGCGCAATTCCGGCGCACTGAGGCTGAGGCTGAGGGTTTGTTTTCGCGTCGCGTCGCTGTTTGCAGGTGCCGTTCTTCCGTCAGTTGATCAGGACGATCGTGGCGGACTACAGGAACGTGGTCGACCTCTCCTTCACGCCACCACCACCCGAGGAGATCCTGTCGGTCGGCTCCAACGGTGGCGGCGGCGCGACGACGCCCAAGCAGGACAAGGGCAAGGAGAGACTCAAGTGAGTCGCAGAAAGAACAACGAAGAAGAAGGCCGGGGGAAAGACGCGGACAGGGTGGTGTGAGGACTCACACACACAACCACACCAACAAATAATAATAAGTCTCTTCTTATTGTTGGTTGCCAGTTGACATCATCAACACACTCCATTTACAACGAATTGTTGAGCTTGTCTTGCCTTTTAACTTTGGTGGCCCAATCAGTCTTCGGCGACCTGGACCCAGCGGAGGACGCAGGCGGAGGTGATGCCGTTCTCGGCCAGCGTGGCGTCCCGGCGCGGGTGGGGCAGGCCCGTGTGCGACCACATGAGGGTGGTGTCGGCGGAGGGCGCCACCCGCACGTCGGCGAGGCGGTCTGGCGTGGGCCGCCCCTGATGCTGCAGGGCGTCGACCACCTGGCCCAGCGTGTCCGAAGGCCTGACGGTCAGGGTCCACGCGTACGTGTCGCTCCAACGCAGCAGCATCGTAGGTCGACCCACGGCCAGCCGCAACTCAAAGGCCTCCCCCAAGGCCTGTTGTTGGTGCTCTGGCTGTTGTGTCATCAGGGGCAATGGCTGTTCAAAGGAGAGTGAAGTGAAAGGTGAGATTGTGAAGTTTCTATTTGGGGGGGGGGCTGTGGCAGTGTTCAAGGAACAGAGTTGGGGTGGTGCACTTCTGTGTTTCCATGCAAAGGAACAGCGAATGGCGACAGGGGCGCGGAAGAAGGGAAGGAAGAAGCCCGCCACCTTAAAATTGCGGCGATAAAATAGATTAAAAAACAAAAGAGAAACAGTTCACGACATTGGCAAGCGAGGGGGCGAGGTCACACAATCGAGAGTGTAAATGGCTTCGTTGGACATTAAGCTCAAGCGGATGGACAGGGTCTATCACCCCGGAGTACGTGCCTCTTCATTCAGATTTTGTCCCCCATTCATCTTTACAATTTATTTATTTTATTTTTATTTTATTGAAGATTACGATTTACGTTGATGGAGTGCCACTGATTTATTACTTGAGAGCTTCTTTTCTTTTCTTTTCCAATTTTACCGATCATCTCATCTGATATTTTTGCGAGTGCAGGAGGTGGTGAGCGGCGCGATCGTGATCGAGAGCAAGGGCTCGCTGTCGCACCAGGGCATCCAGCTGGTGATGGAGGGCAACACCACCCTCCAGCTCAGCGCCAAGAGCGTCGGCCTCTTCGAAGCCTTCTACAACTCCCTCAAGCCCATCCAAGTGCGTGTGCGGTGTGTGCGGTCGCGTGCGTGTCTTTTCCTAACACCACACACACACACACACACACAACACACACCGCACGACACGACACGACACGCGCGGTGTAGATGCTGTACGTGCCGGTGGAGGTGGCGAAGCCGGGCAAGCTGCCCGACGGCACGACCGAGATTCCGTTCGAGTTCAAGCTGGAGCCGCTCGCCGGGCAGAAGCTCTACGAGACCTACCACGGCGTGTTCGTCAACATCCAGTACCAGCTCCGCGCCACCTGCGTGCGCGGCTTCATGGCCAAGACCCTCGAAAAGACCCTCGAATTCATCGTTGAAGTCAAGGTTTGACCCCTCGCGCTCGCGTCGTGCGTGTCATGTCGCGCGTGTCGTGTCATGTGTGTCGTGTCGTGTCGTGTGTGCGTGCTCATAGTGTTCGTCGTCGTGCAGAGCTCGAAGGACTATCCCAAGGACCAGGAGGTGCCGTTCAGCATCACCCCGCAATCCATCGAAAACGTCAAAAAGGTGCCCCCTCGCCACCCAATTGTATCTTTTTTTTATGTCTGTTTGTTAACACGCACACGACCGCACACGCACGACCGCACACACGGCCAGACGTCGGTGAATCGCATACCCAATTTTAAGATCACGGGCAAGCTGACGACGGCGACGTGCGCGATCACGCGGCCATTCACGGGGGAGCTCATCATCGAGGAGGCCGACGCCATCATCAAGTCGGTCGAGGTCCAGCTCGTCAGGGTGGAGACCTGCGGCTGCGCCGACGGTTTCGCCAAGGAGGGTACGCGCTCACCGCACACGCATTCACCGCACGCACAATCACCGCACACGGCACACGCTCGACCGCACACACGCGAGGCTCACGTCGTGTCGTTGGTCGTGTCGTGCGGTGGTGCAGCGACGGAGATTCAGAACATTCAGATCGCGGAGGGGGACGTGTGCCGACAGTTGGTGATCCCCATCTTCATGATCTTCCCGCGCCTCTTCACCTGCCCCTCCACCGCCGCCCGCACCTTCAAAATAGAATTCGAGGTACCCTATGACCACCATGCGTGGACCAACGAAATCGATTTACACCACACGATCTCACCAACCGCACGCGCACGACACGACACGGCACACGCCACAGGTGAACTTGGTGGTGCTGTTCGAGGACGGCCACCTGGTGACAGAGAACTTCCCCATCCGCCTCATCCGCACATAGCACACGGCTGGCGCGCCTTTCCTGTTTTTCTTTTTATTTATTCCCCCCTTTTGGTGTGAGACATTAAACGACGTCGAGAAGAAGAAACAAGTACGAGGTCATTGCGGTGGAGCATGCTGGAGCTGCTGGAGCTGTTCGACCTGTCTGCTCTGCTTCTGGATGAGCTCCTGCTGCTGCTGAATGAGCTTTTCCATGGCCGCTACTTGATGACCAGGCACTACCTGCGGCTCCGGCTGTGGCTCCCACGCGAGGCTCCAGGCAACAGAGCGTGCGAAATCCTGCCTCTTCAGATGCGGTACAAAGACCACCTGCGGATAATGCGTAGAGAAGTAAGCATCCATTCCAGCCTTGCTCGGAAGAGAAGTCGTACCGGTGAAGAGATGAAGACGGAAGAGGGCCATCCTCCACGCTTCTCCCACGCCATCAAGGTGCGAAAGGGAATGATCTCTCCCTGATGTTCTCCTATCTCCTCTCCGGCGGGATGCTTCCCAGAGCGCGCCATATGAGGTGTTAGGGCCAAGGTTGAAGTCCATCCCCCCCAAACACCTGGAACCTTTAACGTCAAGCTTACCTTTAGCAGTTTCTGTGCAGTTAAACAAGGAACAGAGTACTTGGTGCCATCCTTGAAGCCAGTACCTTGCATCTCCAGCCGACGTCGTCTTCCTCAAAGTGCTCTTCCGGAGACCCACCGAACAACATCTGAGCGTCGATAGTCGCGTTAGTGGATGTTCGACAGTTCAAAAACACTGGAGTGGAGTGTGGTACGAGCGTCAGCGGTTGGGGAGCGTCAGGGGTCGTCCGCGCTTGATGATTGGTTGCCGTGTGTGTCTGCGTATGAATGCAATCGCAAGGCAACCTATTCTAAATACTCAAACCTATCAACATCATGATGAGCAAAGGTGAGGAGGGCGCCACAACTGGGCGGGTTTCGGAGAGAAGTGAAGGGCCAGAGTACGGACCGGGGGCGAAGTTTCTAGAAACGTTGTTATTTTTTGATAGATTTGGTTACTTGTTGGGGCTGGCGGCCTCGAGGCGGGAGAAGGAGAGGGAGACGGGCCAGAGGGCGGTGAAGCTGCGGAGCGGCCGCAGGAGCCGGTCGAGCAGGGCCGACCGCGGGGCGAGCAGCGGCAGCGCCAGCGAGATGGACAGCACCACCAGCGTCGCCACCCCGGCCCACATTAACTTCCGCCGCGGGTCCTTCTTCTTCTTGGCCGACGCCGGCGTCGAGCTGCTGCCGACGGCTGATGGCGTCAGCTGTGTGCCGGCGACGCCCGTCGTCGCGACGGCGGGTGGTGGCCCGAGTGGTGTGGATGAAGACGAAGATGATGATGATGAAGAGGAGGAGGGAGGAGTGAAGACGAGGTCGCCGTCGGCGGCGGAGGTGCCGCGATGGAGCGACGCTCGCTGCTTGCGGCCGTTCCTCCGCGACACCCGCCTCTCAATTTCAACTGGTGGTCACCACACAACACGACATCAGCGTGTGCGGTGTGCGGTGTGTGTGCAGTGTGCGGTGTGCGGTGTGTGCGATGTGTGCGGTGGCGGGACGACGTACTGTCTCTGACGGCCTGTTCGAGCTCGTCGGGCGTGGGCGGAAGGGCGCCGTTGGTGGCGGCCGGCGAAGGCACGGGCGAAGCAGCGGCCAATTGCGCCGCAGCCGCCGCCGACGCCTGGGCGTGCTCGAGGGCCGCCAGGCGCTGGTGGAGCGACGGCAGCGAGAGCGACAACGCCGCACTGTCTCCCGTCACCTCCTGAAGCGTTTGCTGCAAACCTGCCGCGTGTACGTGTGCGGTGTGTGTGTGTGCGGTGAGTGTGTGCGGTGCGCGTGTGCGGTGAAGCGATAGTAGGTAAAAGGTACCGGCGACGCGGGTGAGGGCCTTGGAGAGCTGGCGCTCCATGTTGCTCACCTCCCGCTCGAGGCCCTTGACCGCCGCTCGCAGCACCACCACCTCCTCCGCCGTACTGACCCCGTGCTGCTGCCCCCACGCCACCACCACCAATCAGCCCGTGTGCGTGTGCGTGTGCGGCCGCGCGTGTCGTGTGCCGTTGTCCAAAACGAACCTCGCCCAGCAGCATCGCCTCGCCAGCGTCCACGAATCGCGCGTTGTCGTCGTCATCGTCGTCGCTCTCCTCCTCTTCCTCCTCCCTAACCACGACCGTCGCACTCCGACCGCCGGTGCCGAAAGTCTTCTTCGTCATCGCCGTCGCCGTCGTCGGCTCGCCGTGCTCGTCGCTCTCGTCGCCCGCCTCGTCGTCTTCGGCTTCGTCGCGCTCGGACGACGACGACGGGTGCGACACGAGCGAGCCGCCGCCGCCGGGCACGCGGTGGGCGGGCAGGGGCGAGGTGAAGCCCAGGTGGTGCAGGTGCCGCCGCACGAGCTCGACCCACAGCCCGACCGCGGCCTCGGTCGACTCGCGCATAAAGTTTTCCATCATCTCCTTGAACAGCTTCCGCTTGTACTCGTCCCGGCCGACGATGGTGCAGCGCAGGGTGCCGTCGGCCTCGTCGATCCGCGCGGTCCACTCGACCCGCGTCTCCAGGTCCACGCTCGACCCGCCCTCGCCCATCGTCACGGCCGTCACAATCGCCTCCCTGTGCGTGTCGTGTCGTGTCGTGTGTCAGTTTCGACCGCACACCGCGCACACCGCACACACCGAACACGACGTACCCGTTGGGTGTGATGTGAAAGTGCGTCACCTCTTTGAACTTGGCGTTGCCTGTGTAGTGTGTCGTGTCGTGTCGTGTTGTGTCAATTGGTCGGGATTAGGAAACAAGACACGCGTGCGGTGCGGTGAGGTGATGGCGTACTGGTGAAGCGTTTGAGCATGGGGTGGGCGGCGGGCGGCGGCGTGAAGCGGATGAGGCGCTGCTTGCGGTTGCCATCGGGCGCCTTGGTCCACGGACCCAAGTGAATATCTGCCCGAGGAAGAAATACAAAAAAAATTATAATAATACACAATTAGAATATTTAATCCATAATACAATAATGTAGGAATAAATGAGTTGTAGATTGATTAATTAATTGAATGGGGCGAGTGGTTGTGATCACGAGAGGAGGGGACTTAGGGATCACCTGTGTTGCCCCGCCTTTCGTGCCACTGTTGCGAGAAGGACTCGCCCTCGAAGAAGAGCTCAAAAAATTGCTCGAGCGTGAGCACGCCCAGATTCTCCTCCACCTTGAATTCCTTCATCCGAAGTAATGTGCCCTCTTATTTCTCTTCTTCAATCAACGTAGAGTAGCTTGATCTGCAAGAGCTCCTTCTAATCGGCTTATCGACTTGATCGAGCGACACGAGGGTGCGGTTCAGTTCCCGCGCTTTTTTCCCAGCATTTCCTGAACGCCTCTGGTTTCTGGTCTTTTTTATTTTTTTATTTCGACCAAACCAGCTCAATTCCTCGAACCGCCAAAACACATCGATCTGTCCTTGTATCTTTTCATTCTCGATTGTTTTTAAAAACAAATTTTGCCTCTCATGCCGCCCCTCTCTGGTGCTGGTTTGTCGCTGGCCCTGCGAGAACAGTTGCGTAGCGCCGGCATTCATACAGGTACTCCCTTCTGCCTGTAATTGATTTCCTCTTTTTTTATTTATTTAAATTTAATTTATTTAAAAAAACAATGGCGCTGCAGTAGAGGACGTGGTCGGGCAGGACGAGTTGGTGTTGGCCCACAGGGCGCACATGTCGGTGGAGGAGGTCTGCACCCTCCAACGTTCGCTGCGGCTGGCCTACGCCGCCACCCCGATCCCGGCCACGCTGCTTCTCCAGCAGGCCCGCGCCCACCACCACCCTCCGGAGCTCTCCGTCGGCCTCACAGCGTACGACCGCACACGACACACGACACACGACACACGACACACGACACACGACACACGACACACGACACACGACACACGGCACACGGCACACGGCACACGGCACACGGCACACGGCACACGGCACACGGCACACGGCACACGGCACACGGCACACCATGACACACGACACTACACACGCGCAGGTTGGACGAGCTGCTGGGCGGGGGCGGCCTGCGGGCGGGCGAGGTGACGGAGGTGGTGGGCGGGGCGGCCGCGGGCAAGACCGCGCTCTGCCTGCAGGCCTGCGCGTCGGCCCTGGCCGACCCGAGGGCCACCGTCGCCTTCGTGGACTCGGCCAACGCCTTCACCCCCACGCGCCTGCTCCCCCTTTTGCCCCACGTACGATCCCAGTCGACAACAATCAATTGAACCATGCCACACGCACACGCCGCACACTAACGCGGCGACGGTGGGCAGGCCGATGTGATGACGGCCATGAGTGCGCTGGCGCGCTTGCGGTGTTGGCGCGTACACGACGGCCAGTCGCTGCTCACGCTGCTGCACCAGCTGCTCGACGAACTAGCCAGCCCGCACCAGGTGCGTAGGGCGCCATAGGCACTCAGGACGCACACAACGTCGCATTTTTATTAATATTATTATTTTGTTGACTCATCGGTGGCGCTGGTTGGTGGGATGGCGACAGGAGGGCGACTACGCGCGCAATCTGCGCTTGGTGGTCGTCGATTGCGTTGCGAGCCTTCTCGCGCCCCTCCTCTCCTCGGCCTCTCTTGGTACCCGCACACGCACACGCACACACGCACACACACACACACACACACACACACATAACACTACGCTAACGTCGTGTACCAGGTCACTCGCTCGTCAGCGGCATTTCACGCGCGTTGCGGCTTTTGGCGACACGGCACAACCTCGTGGTGCTGGTATGCCTAGCTACCCTGCTCCTTCATTCACTGCGCACTCTGTCTGAACCGTGTGTCGTCGTGTCGTGTCGTCGTGTGCGTGTGCGTGTGTCGTCGTGTGCGTGCCACGCGTGGTCAGGTGACGAATTACGTGGTGGGCGGAGACGAGGAGTCGCGGGACGTGGTGAAGCCGGCCTTGGGCGAGTCGTGGGGCATGACCTCCGCCACGCGCCTGTACGTCCACCGCCAGGCCTCGTCCATGCAATCAGGAGCCGATGGGACCATCTCGGCCCTCTACTACGCCGCCCTTGTCAAGTCTTCGCGTCAGGTAACACACACGCACACACGCACACACGCACACACGCACACACGCACACACGCACACACGCACACACGCAACTCACGTCTCATCACAACGATCGGGTAGGAGTGTACGGGCGACCGGGTGTGGTTCGGTATCGACGGCCAGGGGTTGGCTCCGCTACAGGACGAAAGCGCCCACCACCACCAGCAGCAGCGCATGGACTATGACGACGCCGCGCCCTCTTGAGGCCTACCCGCGCACACCCTGGGTGCGTGCGCTGGTGTATGTACATAACCTCCCAGCCAAGTGTTGGCTCTTTGTCTCTATAAAATCGGTCAACACCACCACCGCGCAGCCCACACAGCTGCCGCCAGGCCTGACCCAAAGGCCCAAGCCACAAGCCCAAGCCCACGAATGGTCCGCAACCCCTCCCAACCCACCTCAACGCCCAACCCGTCATTCGCGTCAGTCCGGCGAAGAGAGAGGAAAGACTGACAGACAGACCCGCCAACCCACAGTTAACCGCAGGTGGTTCCGTAGAATCATCCAATGGGGGACGCGCCGGCCCATGGGTTTGACATGCTGTCGTGGCAGGTCCACCCACCACCAGCATCTCATGCGGGGCTGGCGCGGTCTGGGTTCACGGGTTCGCCGTCGCCGCACACCGCGTTCGCTCGCTCGCGCGGGTAGCCCACAAGTACGCCCCGCACCTCCAAGGCCCAGGCGGAGTGTGTGGTGTTTTGGGCAGAGCGGGCGGAGCTGCCTCGATAGGCCGTTGCTCCGCACAGATCCCCGCGCACGGCCTGTTTGGTCGGCGGAGTCCCGCAGTTTGGGGAGGCCTCTCCAGAGAGAGGTCTTTGAGCGAGTTGACGTCTCCGCCGCCTCCGCCGCTCCTCATAAGTACGGCCCTCTCCTCTTCTTCTTCTTCTTCATCGGCCACACAACCACCTTCTTCTTCTCCTCCTCCTCGTTAGCAAGAGTCACAGCGAAGCCCACCACCGCCTTCGCTTGCGCCTTGCTCCACAACTGACCGATCAACCACTCCACTACAAAAACCCAAAACAACGACCACAACAACTTCAAGAAGATGAAGATGAACAAGATGACGACGACGGCGATGTTGATGGCGGCGGCCTGCGTGGTGCTGTGCCTGGCGACCCTGGGATCGGCCATCAGCCCGCGCTTCGACGAGCGGGGCTACACGCTGCTGGCCGACACCCACGCCGCCCGATCCGAGTTCAACGCGTGGGCGCGCCAGAACGGGCGCAGCTACGCGGCCCAGGAGTTCGGCTACCGCTACAACGTGTGGCGCGACAACGCGGCCTACGTCGAACACTTCAACGCCAACGCCAACGCCTCGTTCACGGTGGGCCTCAACGACCTGGCCGACATGACCCTCGACGAGGTGGCCCGCGTCTACACCGGCCTCGCGCCCGCGGCCAACCCCTTCACCGACGCCTCGTCGCCCGCTGCGCCTGTCGTCGACGACGAGACCGAGCTCGAGCGTGTGGCGCGTCAGCTGCCGGCCAGCTACGACTGGAGGAACGCGGGGGCGGTGACGCCGGTCAAGAACCAGGGCTCGTGCGGGGCCTGCTACACGTTTTCGGCCAACGCCGCCATCGAGGGCATGTACAAGATCGCCGCGGGCCAGCTCACCTCCCTCTCCGAACAGATGCTCCGTACGTCACTACATATGGCTATGTTGCTGACGTGGCATATATATGGATGATATATGCTGACGTGGCATATGTTGATGACGTGGCGTGGGTACACAGTGGACTGTGCGCAGGGAACGGGCAACCTGGGATGCAACGGAGGCAACATGGAGATCACCTACTCGTGGATCCTCAACAACGGCGGCGGCGTCAACACCCTGGCGTCCTACCCGTGGTCCGGCTTCCGCAGCACCTGCCGCTACTCGGCCAGCAACAACGGCGCCGTCATCAAGTACACCCTTCAGCTCTTCTTTTCCATGTGTGTGCGACGTGTGCGGTGTGTGCGTGTGCGTGTGCGGTGTGTGGCATTCCTGACATTCTTTGTTTTCCCCCGTGTAGGGCCTATCGTCGTGCGACGAGCGGCAGTGAGGCGGGTCTGCTGACGCTGGCCTCGCGCGGTCCCGTGTCGGTGGGCATCAACGCCTCGCCGCGCTCCTTCACCTACTACCGCAGCGGCACGCTCATCGACTCGTCGTGCACGGCGGCCGGCATGAACCACGCCGTGACCGTCGTCGGCTGGGGCACCGATGCCAGCGGCAACCCCTACTGGCTCATCAAGAACTCCTGGGGCACCTGTACGCTCTCCACGACACGACACACACGACACACGACACTCATAACACGATGCTTACAACACGACACGACACGACACACGCAGCTTGGGGTCTGTCCGGCTATGCGCAGATCGGGCGGAACAGCGGCAACATGTGCGGCATCGCGACGATGGCCTCGCAGCCCTGCTTCAAGGCCGATTGCTCCCAGTAAGCAAGCAAGCACCAGTTAGACCCATGGGTGGATGGCGATCCGCCTGGTGGACGCCTCTGATCTTCTTCTTCTCTATTCTCTTTCGTTCTTCTTCCTTGTGATCTTACCCTGTATGCACCGCACCTCCTTTTGTTTCAGTCATCACAAACAACGAACGAAAATCACACAAAGGCTGCCATCGATTTCTTATTTATGAAAGAAAAAGACAAATTATCAAGGCACATCAGGAACCAGACGCCGTACACCCTGACGTGGCCCTCGGTGGTGCCTACAGTAGCTGGCCCTCACCTCGGTTCCGGTGTAAACCAAGGAAATGAGAATGTTTTAACTCCGAGATCATAACTCCGTGCACCAATCTAATCTCACCCTTGATCCCACCACCTCTTTCCTCTGGTCTTTCCTTTAGTCTGCCCACTACTGTGCCCCTAAGAGTACCCCTATAAAAACTTAACACCACTCAACCCAACACTCAACCACCAACAACCAACCCACCACTCAACCATCAACCACCACTACCACCAACAACATGTCCGCTGAGCCTTCCAAGACTTCCGCCTACACTGACATTGCCCTCGGCGCTGGCCAAGGAGAACGTCGGCTGGGCCGTCGGCAACAAGCAGATGGAGGCCGAGGGCCTCGCGCGCAAGGAGAAGGGCAACGCCGAGCTCGAGGCGACCAAGGCCGAGCAGCGCGCCATCGGCACCAAGGACCAGGTCAAGGGCAACATCAAGGAGGCCGCCGGCAACGTGCTCGGCAACGAGCAGTGGCAGGCCGAGGGCAAGGCCGACCAGCTCAAGGGCGACGCCCGCAAGGCCGTCAACCAGTAGACGCACATACTTGTCAGCAACATATGTTGAGCATATGTTCAGCATATTGATATATAAATGAATAAGATCTCTCCATAACAAAGGACTCAAGAAAAGTGTCGCTTGGCGGCGAGGACCAGTTCGTTCTGAACGACGTCGAGGGCCTCGTGAGGGGGGACCGCAAAGTAGAGCTCCTCGCCGCCGCCGCCCCTGCCCGTCTCGCGTTTGGTGAAGGCCAGGGACGACGCGAGCAGCTTGTGGAGCGCGTCGTCCACCTCAAAGTCCACCTCCACCCCAAAGCTGGCCACACACACGACACACACGACACACACACACACACACACAATCAGCTCAAGTTGAAGACAACCATGGCGGTGATGATGTGAACGATGAGTAAGGAATGTGAATCATGCGCGTACTTGGCTTTGATGAGGTGCTCGATGGCGGCGTCGAGCTGGTCCTTGCGGATGCCGTCGCGCCACTGCCAGATCACGAAGTAGGCGAGCAGGGCCTCCTTGATCTCCTGCTCGATGGCCGCCTCGTGGATGTACGACAGCACGCTCTTGTTGCAGTTCAGCGAATTGTTCCGCAGCGAACGCGCCGCCATGTTCTTCGCCTGCACCCACGCGCCACGCATCGTGAGCGCACGCGCGTGTGCGGTGTGTGCGTGTGCGGTCGTGTGTGCGTGTGTGGTGGTGCACCTGGTACTGGGACCGCTGTGCGCCGATCTTTCGGTTGACCCAGCGCACGAAGAGGGGGAACAGCAGCACCAGAATACCCAGCACCGCCTCGTCAATATACCTGCACAGTTGAGTGGTCAATGACACGCATCACTACACATACGACGACACGACACGACACGACACGACACGACACGACACGACACGACACGACACGCTCTCGCATTCACACTCGCGCTTGCGCACACGACGCCAAGAAGAGACGTACGTGGAATGGGCGAGGGTGAAGAAGGCCTTGAAGGCGAGAGTGACGGAGAAGGAGAGGAGCATGAGGAAGGACACCATGTCGGCCCAGTTCCATCCAGCCTGCTGCAGCGGAAACACCACCTGCAAATTCTTCATTGGAATATCGTAGAACCTATAACACGACACGACACACACGCGACACACACACGACACACACGACACACACGACACACACGACACACACGACACACACGACACACACGACACACGCCCGCACGCAATGTCAATGACAGCGAGGCGCGGAGGGAAGGAGAGGACAGACGAGAAAGACCGACCGTTGGATGAAGATGGCGTTCTCGTCGGGCTTGCAGTGGGCCTGGTCCTCCCCGCTGCTGCCGCTGCTGCTGTTCTTCTTTTTCTTGAACAGAAGCACCACTTCCTTGTACGTCGGCTCCTCTACTGTCACCTCCTCGAACAGCGACGCTGTGCGTGTCGTGTCGTGTCGTGTCGTGTCGTGTCGTGTCGTGTCGTGTCGTGTCGTGTCGTGTCGTGTCGTGTGTGTCGCGTGTCGCGTCGCGTCGCGTCGTGTGCGGTGGGCGACGGGGAGTGCGTGCAATGAGTGGTGGTTTGGTGATGGCTGCACAGCCTGGTTGAGCAAAGAGGGTACCGGCGGTGGTGAGGAGCGTCTTGCGGTCGATGAAGCGAGGCAGGTGGATGCTGGTGTGGGGCTGCTCAGGCTCCGCCCCGGTATTCATGTAGTCCTGCGCCATCGATGCCAGCCCATCGCTGATCCGTATCTGTCACCGTCGAGTAGCGAGCGTGAGTCGCCTGCGCGTGCGCGCGTGCGTCGCGGTGAGTACCTTGGGCGAGGGGAGGATGGGACTGAGCGCGGCCTTGAAGATGTTGAGCCCGCGTTGGATGAGGAGGTCGAGCTTGGCCAGCACGAAGCGACCGGTCCGTCTCTGTACGCCCACTCCGCGCCAGAACACCAAACACTTGACACACAGACACGTGGTCACCACCTGGCGCACGCACACGCGCACGCGCACGACACACACACACACCACCACCACCACCACTCCACACACGGTGCATACGTTGCGAGCAAAGGGCGGAGGCGGAGGAATGTCGGGTTCGTCGACCGAGTTGAAGTAGGCCTCCAGCAAGCTTGAATCCAGCTTGTCCCAGTCGATGCGCATCGGCACTCCAAACAAGATCTGAGGTCCCACCACAGACCACCACCAATCAACACTCGTGTGCGATGGCGCGCCGTGTGCGTCGTGTGTGTGTGTGTGCGTCGTGTGCTGTGTGTGTCGCGTGTCGCGTGCGTGTGTCGTGTAATGCGACGTATGAACCTGTTCGGGGTTGGCTGCGAATTTGATCTGCTCCTGGGTGAGCGGATTGAAGTTGGCCTTGCGCATGGTGCGCACAAAGTTGTGGATGAAGCTGTTGATCATGCGCTGCCGCCTCGTCTCGTCTTCAACCCCGCCCTGCCCCGCTGCGTGCTTATCGCTCTGTGTGTGTGTGTGCGTGTGTGTGCGTGCGTGTGCGTGTGTGTGTGTGCGTCATACATGTGTGTGCGGTGTGTCATACATGTGTGTGCGTGTGTGTTGAGTCAATGTTCGACAGGATGGGCGAAGGCGAGGTGTTACCTGGCGCAGGGCCGGGTTGAAGAGGGTCTGGTAGAGCTGCAGTTCGCGGGTGAGGGCTTCGTGCTTGGCCTGCACCACGTAGAGGTACACCCCGCATAGTTCCTCGAAGCTCTGCCGCAGGCCCCGGCCCCCGGTCTCCTCCTCGATCTTGCTCTGGTGTGAGTCGGCGTGAGCGTAAAAATCGGAGCAACCGCACACAACACGACACGCGCGAGCGGTGCACACAAGGCACGGAACGAGATGCGACACAGAATCGACGCCACGCACCACGGCATCGAGAAGGGTGCTGGCGAGAAGGTGAAGGTTGACAGGGATGTAGTTCTCGTGCGGGTACCACACCCGGTGCTTGTCCTATTCAGCAGCGCCGGTGCCGCCCGTCAGCCATCTGCATCGAGTCTGTCTCTCACAGTGCGTGCGTACCTCGTCAAAGTGGATGGTGGCGGTGGTGGCCGGGAACCCAAAGTAGTCCAGCCGCTCCTGTCCCAGACACAGTCAGCCCTCCAAGAAATAAAAAGAAAGAAAAAAGAGGGGGAGGGGGGTACGCGAGTAGAGGAAGAAGATGAGCTGGGGGGTTCGGGGTGGCCTGTCTGGAGGGCCACGGCCTGCCGCAGTTCCTCAACGAGGGCGGGATTGCCCCTGTGCCCATGACCGCTGCTGGTGGTGCTGGGAGCTGGGCAGGGAAAGGGCGGCAGGGGCGTGTACGACGACGGGGAGTAGGAGGGGAAGTGGAGCAAGCTGTCCTGGTCCATTGCGCTGCTGCTTTGCTGAGAAGATAAGAGGGTGCGCTGGACAGGCACTCCACTTCTTCACTTTACTTCGTGTGACCGCAGCCCAACCCAAGTCCATGTGCGGCTAGGCGCACAAGCGTAGACAAAAATTGGATAGACGGCCAGAAGACAGGCCGCCTGGCGCTACGGACATGGATGCCAGAAAGGTTTATTCTGCAGTCAGGGCAGCCTGGTGGCGCCGCTTGGGGCGTTGAGGGGGGGAGCTGTAGAAAAGAAGGCGCTTGCGCACAGAGCCTTTGCGGAAGCGAGGGATGAAGTGGGGAGGTAGAGGGTGAGGGGCGTAATAAAAACTAAGGGACATACAGGCGTACAAGGGAGAGTAAATAGCATAGATGGGGTGAGATGGGCAAGCAGAGACGTGAAAGGTGAGGACCTCCTCCGCGCTAACCGAGTACTCACGGCTGAGATCCCAGCCGGGCAGGAGGCGTAGGAACTGGGAAAGGGACGTACAGCGACGATAAGACTCGTATCCAGAACGGCGGCGGGCAGGTTGGTAGCTCTCCCAGCCCTTGGTGAAGTTGTCGTAGAAGGAGGGGCTGCATGCGAAGTGGAGGTCGGGGGGCGAGAGGGAGTAGATGGGCTTGATTTCGTGTAGGATTGATGAGGCAATGGAACGGATGAGAGCGTCCTCCGCCATTCGAAGCTGAGCAGAAGCAGCACTGAGGCGCGTGGCGAGTAGCTCGCGCTCGCTGCAGAGGTCGGCTATGACCACTGCAGGTGGGTCTGGCGGTTGCAGCACAGAAGCTAGACCGCGAGAGTCAGGAACGAGAAAGCCAGAGAGGTGCTGTGAGCGCTGGCGTTCGTGCGGCTGGCGTAGGGAGTGGCACATGATGGTGGGGTGGTTGGGTTGGGTGGGCGAGAAGGAAAAGGCGTTAAGCAAGCAGGTGGACAAGTGTATGGAAGGCAGCAAACCACAAACTTTATGAACGAGAAACCAGAGAAACAAGAGAGAAGAGGAAACTTCACTTGCGGCGGCCAGACCGGCGAGCAGTGCCCGGCTTGGGAGGCGGTGGTGTGCAGCTGCGGGGCTGGTGCAGGAGTACGGCCTGTCGTGGACAGTAGTGCTTGTGGCGCTCGTCGTGCATCTGGGTGATGAGCTGGTCGAGCTGGTGCATCAGTTTCGTCGCAGTTGAGGTGGAGGGCGACGGAGGAGGTGAGGGGAGAGGAGGAGGGAGAGGTTGTGCTGGTGAGTGGGCGAGAAGTTGCTGCCGCTGCTGGTGGATGAGAGGCCAAAGAAGGTCGAGGAAGGGCTGCTTGTGGCGAGCGAAGAAGAGGGGCGAGGTTATGCCGAGAGCGATGGTGAGTGAGCGCAGCTCGTCCAAGCGGTATTTGCGCTTGAGCGCGGCAACGCTTGGCAACGAGGTCAGATCAAAGCCCTGTCCACACGTGGTTAGGTGCCGCACACGAAGCACA